GCATTCCTATCATTATAGCCATAGTGAATAAGGGCTCTATACACCTGTATACTACGACTGAAACGGTTATCTGATTGACAGGGAATGGGAACAATGTTGATTAATTGCATAAATGTCGAACATCCAGATTCCCGAGTGTGAGGAGCTGCAGTCATTATCACTGTCAACTGAACACGTGTGGGGCTGATGTCAGAATGGGGAAGAAATGTGTGACTTTTAAGTGTGGAATGTTTGTTGGTGGTTTGAGTAGGTCAAAAACTGCTGATCTCCTGATTTTCACAACATTCTCTAGAGTTTACAGAAAATGATAAAAAAGGGAAAAAAAGCATCCAGTGAGTGGCAGTTTTGTGGGCAAAGATGCCCTGTTAATGAGAGAGTTCAGAGGAGAATGGCTAGCCTGGCTCAAGCTGGCAGGAAGGCAACAGTAAAATCTATTTGCCCTAAGACAATTTTTTGTTGCCCCTATACAAATTGTTTTAATTATAAGCAGTTATCAAACAACAACAAAGACCCTGGAAGCGGGGTTCAGTTGGCTCGTTTTTTTCAAAACTGGATGTCCCTTTGAAAAACAATATGCACCTTGCTCTTGACCTTTCGGCCATCTGCGCAATACATAGTTGGAGTTTCGCCCACATCCTCTAACACCACCCAACTAAACTCCTGTTTTCAGGATAGTTGAAACTCCCATTTGCGCTTCAGCTCAGAAACTTCAAACTTCAACAAAAAGTCTTTACCTGCTGCAATTTTCTGCCTGATTCGTACTGCGCATGTGCAAACCTTAACCCCAACAGAGATGAAAATGAAGAAAGCTCACCAAAACTAGATAGCAAAAGATTGGAAAAATGCCACCTCTGTCAAGTTGCTGCAGGTGGAATGGTGTGGGCAATATTTTCTTGGCACGCATTAATACCAGCTGGTATTAAATGCCACACCCTACTAGAGTACTGTACTGTTGCTACTGTACTGACTGTCTGTCTGTCTGTCTGTCTGTCTGTCTTTCTCTCTCTCTCTCTCTCTCTCTCTCTCTCTCTCTCTCTCTCTCTCACCCCAACTGGTCGAGACAGACGACCACCCACCTAGAGCCGAAGGATCTGTCCTAGGTTTCTGCCTTTTAACAGGTAGTTTTTCCTTGCCCCCGTCGCCAATTGCTTGCTCATGGTGGTACTGTTGGGTCTCTGTAAATAATGTTATAAGGAGTTCGGTCTAGACCTGCTCTATTTGAAAAGTGTCCTGAGATAACTTCTGTTATGAATTGGTGCTATACAAATAAAATTGAATTGAATTGAATTGAATTGTTCCTGATCATCTGCATCCCTTTATGGCCACAGTCTACCCATCTTATAACACCTACTTCCAGCACATTTTTAAAGCCATGACACCAAAATTTAAGGCTGTTCTGGGGGCAAAATAAGATCCAGTATTAGAAAGACATACCTAATGAAGTGGACACTTAGTACATGACAGCATTTCTTACAGTGATGGTCTTTGTCACAGTAACCACACTGATTGTGAGTTTTGATTTGACAAGTGAAGGCAGTGTCTTACATGCAGTAAGATTCTGTTAGTGCATTGAATATTTTAGTGTACTGTACACATTTGTATTCGGATGTGATCAGGCGAGCCAAGCACAGCCAATGAGAGCAGCTCAACTCGCAGTATGTCACCTCTGACTGACTGACGCTGAACAGGCTCCTGTCAGTCATGGACAATACACTGCATCCACTGCACAGAACCATCTACAGGCAGAGGAGCAGCTTCAGCAACAGGCCGCTGTCACTGTCCTGCTCCACTGAAAGACTGAGGAGATCCTCCCCCACACCATGAGGCTCTTCAACTCCACCCAGGGGAGGAAAACCATAAAACTCTAAACTCCAATATGTCTCCCCTGTATTAAACTGTACCATCCGATGCAGTGCACCCTGCATTATGTGACCACCTACTAGGGCTGGGTATCGGTACTCAATACCTTTCAGGTATCGACCGAAACAACCCGGTACCAAGTAGTATCGAAACTGAACCTGTCATACGATACCTGCAATCGGTTCTTTTTGTACCCACTACCCAGATCAAGAAAAAAATGACTGTTTCTATGGTTTTGCTTTGTATGGCGGTAAAGCGTGCATGCTTAGTCTGTGGCGGAGTTGGCTGGTCAGCATTCCGAGATGCCGGCAGCAAAACGTTCAAAAGTATGGTTGTACTACGCGCCTGTGGCGCCGGGTACAAATAGATGCATCAAATGCGGCAAGATTATTTCGGGGAAAACGGGGAATACTAGCAACATGATGAAGCACCTCATCACGCACGGAACAAACTTATTTAATAGTCAAAGTCAAAATAAGTAATTTCATTGGTTACATTTTCATGTCATGTCATCAAGCTCTCAGCGATAGAGAACATAACGTTAGCTAACGTCGGTTGTTAGTCTGAAATTCAGAAAATGCTCATACTCATATGTAGATAGGCAGAGCCTATACATCTGAAACAGAAGGTGCTGTATTTTTTTACCCTTTATCTATCCAGATAAAAACATTAAGAACAGTTTCTGTATGATGTTTATTAGACCTATGTAATCTGAATTGGAAGGGCACATTGTCATGAGCTGTATCTTGTATATTTATTATTAGCTATGTGGTATGTGTATGCACCTTTATGTAATCTGGTGGAAAAACCTAAAAAAATTTAATTAAAACTTCAAACCATACCAAACAACTTGCGTGTCCCCGTGTATGTAAAGTGTCCTCCTTTTTGATGTCAAGGAAATGGCCACCCTAACACGGAGCAACCGTCGATAACTTCAGGTAATATATAATTATACATATATATATATATATATATATATATATAATTATATATATTATAATTTTTCATTGTACATGTTTGTACAGTTATTAAATAAATATTGGAGCACTTTCAAAATGTATTCGTGTAAAAATCTTTTGAATGGGGAGGAGTGGTGAAAAAAGTATCGAATTAAGTACTCAATTGGTATCGGTATCGTGTTAAGGGTACTGGTATCGGTACTGGTTTTGAATTATTTTAAACGATACCCAGCCCTACCACCTACTTATGCACCTTAGGCTTTTCAAGCACTGGATTTGACCAATTCAATTCAATTCAATTCAATTCAATTCAATTCAATTTTATTTGTATAGCGCCAATTCATAACAGAAGTTATCTCAGGACACTTTTCAAATAGAGCAGGTCTAGACCGAACTCTTTAAAACATTAATTACAGCACCTTACCAGACCATGCACCTTAGGACACTTAACCAATGCTCGTTATTTAGCTATTTATTTTATTTTATTTTATTATTTTATTTTATGGGTTCTTTTGCATTTTGCCTCCTGTTGTTGTTGTTATTACTGTTATTGTTATTATTATCAGTCTGTGGATACTGCTGGAAACTGTGAATTTCCCCTTGGAGATGAATAAAGTATCTATCTAATCTAAATCTAAATCTATCTGCTGGCTCTGACAAACTGTCCTGGCGACAACCATAATGCCAAACTTGAGGCTTCAAAACGGCACTCTACAAACTAATGGGTGACATCACGATAACTTCACACTTGGTCTTATTCTGAAATGATATTGGCTGGTTTTATTGTTATTGTCTCTTTTAAGACCAGTTTTAAAGTACTTGCACATTATTTCCACGTCATGCAACTTTCTACTTAATATTGTACTGTTTACTCTGCCACACTGTGTTTACTCTGCCAGCTATAGTTACAAGTAACACTACAGATAAAGATTATACTGCATTGTTAAAAAATGACACGACCAAAATTACAATTAGCTCCACCCTGACCCACTATAATAATAAAAAGACATTAATGCATCAGTAATAACAATCTAACACAGACAAGAGCACAGGCGAGGCTGGAACTCTGACATAGCGGAGTCCTGAAAGCTCCAGATTCATGCTGCTCATGGTTAGTGCTAATTGGATTAGATGAACATTTGTTTGTGACTATGTACCTGTAAATGACATTTGCTGGCCTTTTCATCACATTACATCATTACCTTATCTTGAGGCCAACAGCTCACTAGTAGCTTGTAATACTCGAATACTCGAATTTCCCTTGGGATAAATAAAGTATCTATCTATCTATCTATCTATCTATCTATCTATCTATCTATCTATCTATCTATACACTTATATGATGTATTCTCCTATATCAATCTGTTACATTTATCTAGTTCAGTAGTTCCCAACCTGGGTGTTAGGGGTCAACAAAGCTTCATTAAATATACACAGTAACTCAGTATTAAAACTAAATGAAATTGTTGTTTTTAAAGTTATTATTTAAAATGTAAACTTTTAAGACCTTTAAGAACACACTCTATATTCACAGAGCCTATTAAGAATGTATGATACAAATAAAAAATACAGAGAAGTTCCTAAAAATATCAGTAAAACTTATCTCTGATAAATATTCACAGGAAATAATCTGCTTAAAATTCATCCAAATCTCTGGATACAAAAACTTCCTGCAGTTATTGTGTTCACTGTTTGAGTTCATTGTACAGTTTATCAGCTGTTCTCTGCTGTTGAATTGATGCATTGAATATAATATGAAATAAAAAAATATCCATAAAATATGTCACTGAGACTCTGAGCACCTTTCTGTGTAGGAAATCAGTCAATTAAGGGAACTCAGAATCTTAGTACCATTTTGCATCTCAACAATATAATAACAGTAAACAATAGTCAATAGATGTTTGCTTTTAGTGGGAGGCCCACAGTTACACGATAACACGGCCACACAGTGTCAGGTGGTGGTGGTGTTGGGGGTGTTATCAGGGACCCCAGCTCATTTTGAATGCAGGGCCCCCTGCATGTAGAGGTTTTTGACACTTAAGGTAGATTCTGCTGATAATATTTGAGTAAAGTTTTGATTATAGGACTGTTGCCTGTAGTGGAGGATAGTACTGATGTCTGAATATTCTTCAACCGGTGACTTTTGAACCAAATAACAGAGGAGCCTCAGTGTCAACTCACCTGTGGCCCCCTCGACACTGCACGACTGTCCCGCGACAGAGTATGACATCCGTCTGCTGCCCGGGGCCCCTCCGTTGTCCGTGCCCGACCCAGAGCCATAATCCGCGGAGGCTCCGTTCCCACTGCCGGTCAGCAGACTGTCCGCCTCCATCCAGGAAATCTACTTCTTACTCTGTAGCCGCTCTTCAGCCGTGAAAGTGAAAGTGCTCAGATCTGGCGGGGGACGGTGTAAAAGAGCTCCAGAGAGGCTGACTTTATTGTGAACAGTCAGTGACTGAACACAGTCTGACAAACAGCACGACAAGCCTCGATCAGAAGGTGTTTTTAGGAAGTGGCTTCTCCGCTCTGCGCCTCCCCCCTCCCGTCCTCAAGTATCACTTTACACTGACTTTAAAAGTTCAAACTCCACCTACAGTCCTACAGTACACTGCACAGGGGCGGATCTAGAGACATATTCGTACGGTTTCCAGAGGGTGGCAGAAATATCAATATTTACTTGGAAAAGCCCCCAAATGAAGATGTTTGAACTCAAAACCATTACTGTGGCACGTAGTAAAGCACTGAATAGAAATATCTAAAGGTGGCATTAGAAATCAATACATTTTTTTGTTATAAATAATATAATTTTTTTCTCCATTTTGCATCTAAACAATACAATAGCAGTAAACAATACACAATAGATGTTTGCTTTTAGTGGGTGGCCCACGTTAAGTGGTCCTCAGAGGGAAACACTTTGGGCACCCCTGTTCTAGTTGAAGGTAACACGGGCACACAGTGCCAGGTGGTTGTGGTGGTGGGGGTGTCATCAGGGGCCCAGCTCATTTTGAATGCAGGGCCCCCTGCACCTAGAGATTTTTGATACTTAATGTACATTTTGCTGATAATATTTGAGTAAAGTTTTGATTGTACGACTGTTGCCTGTAGTGGAGGGCAGTACTGAATATTCTTCAACCGGTGAGTCATGAACAAGAAACAATGTGGTAAGAAACACAGTGATAATCTATTATAAATGATATAAATGATACATTATCTGATTCTGATAAACAGTGTCCCATACTTGCATACACTTTTGATTTTTCTCTCCCTCTACCCATTGTTCAGTTTGAGATCTGATTCCTTATTTTTCCCCCAGCATCAAAATCTGTCCATCCACTATTTTAATTAGAAACAGTATCACTGCTGTCTGTGATTGTGCTGTTACTTTATGTACTTTTTCCTCATATTTGTCAGTTGTGTCTTAACAGAGAGTTAGAGTTAGAGAAGCGCACACACACACACACACACACAGGCATCACAAGATGGTCCTGTCCTAACTTCATTGTTGCAGAAAAAGTGACACCCCACTGATCCAGGAACACATAATTTATGAGCTTATTATTAAGATCAGCTGTACAGAGGAGGAGAATCACTTTATGACTGGTGCAGAGAAATACGCCTAAATGAAGAGCCAGGCTTGTTCATTCCTTTTGAAAAAACAACAGCCAATGAGAAAAATCCAACACTGGACCCATGGAGTAACTTCATCACTCACTCAGCAACCAGCCAAACTTCCAAGGCCTGTAAGCAGAGTCACTTTAAGGGCCCAGAATCTGATAGAGGAACAGACATGTATTTTCTTGTCTGCTCAGCTGTCAAAAATGTTTGGAATGATAGAAAAAAAATGAACGTCAAAATAATGACATCCTGACTCAACATAGACTTTTACGGTCATATTTATTAGATACTATGTCAGAAGAATGATGCACTAAATATGGAAGAGGATTAGGACCACATGTGGAATATCTATTCATTTATTTCCTGAGTTTTAAGTAAAAGAAAAGTCAGAATTCAATATTATTATACCTTTCCTTAGTAACTGACTAATTTAACAATTAATGGTTGTTTTTTATTATCTCATGGATCTCATTTTGACTTAAAAGGTTAATCCTTTCGATTTTGAACAGAAAGATAAACAAAAACAGCACTAAGGATGAAACATTATGTCATATGTTACACTATATGCAACCATATGCCTTATATCGAATACTTTATAGTTGTATAATTGAGCACAGTTAATCCTTACAGATCCTTGCAGGAATAAAACACAACCAGTGATTGAGTGAGAAGTCATGTGAGTGCTTTCAATATAAGATTGATAAGATATACCTTTATTTGTCCCACAATGGGGAAATTCCAATGTTACAGTTCAAAGTGGATAGAGCAAAAACAGTATATAGTGTAAAACAGTTATAGACATGTGAGTATTGTATTAAGACAGACTTGAAAAAATGGGAACTTATCTTTTACCTCAAAATGAATTAAAAAAGCAAACAAGAAATGTTTCTGAATCTTGTACTGCTGTTTTCAAAATCTTCAAAGACCTGGTAGCATTATGGTGAAGGCACATACCACATAACTGCAACATCCATCTATCTCATTAACTACTGGACGGATTGCAGTGACATTTTGTACGGACTTTCATGTAGGGTTACGGCCAATAATGAAAATGTTATATTGTTATGTATTATTCCAGAAATTAAATGATAGCCAGTAAGTTATAAGTCCATAAGAATATAGAATGTTCTATGACAGACAAAATATGTTTGTAAAGTTTTTTATGATGTATTTGAAGAACTGTTGTTTGTTGTTGTTATTGTTAACAATAGGGATGTCAGTTAGATCTGGTTAGAACAGAGCTATGGAATATTAAATCATCCATCTTTACTCACTATATCTCAGCCTTTCGTACCCTCAGGTTTATAAAAACCAGTTCATGAAATTCTTTGTAAAATACAAAAATGTGATATCATTAGTTATCCTATTGTTTTTGGCCATGAGAAGCAGGTAATTATTGGTTATAGTATTAGCTGAAAAAAAATCCATACTGTGCATCCTTACTTTCATGGTAGCCAGAGGATAAATCCTTGATAAACCAATCTATTCAGATAATGCTTAAGCATCCGTAGTAAAACAACTATAACAGTGGTTACAGTATATCCTACATAATTAAGAAAAACATGAATTGTATTAAAGCAGATTAAAGATTGTATTGTATTGTTTGAAGATGTTTTTTGGTTTTTTTAAAAGGCATACAGATAAAGCAATTTTAAACATTAAAGTTAGAATTAAAGATGCCACCCATTTAAAAGATCCATTGTGTAGGATTTATTGGCATCTAGTAGTATATAGTTGCAGATAGCAACTCCCTCTTTTCACCCTCTTTTCCCCCTCCTCTTCCAAGCACAAAGGACAAACTACAGTGGCTGCGAAATGCACAAAAAAGGTAAATGCCCCAAAAATGGCTCATTCTTATATTCAGGTGATTATACACTAATTAAAACATAGCTATGAATGAGAATATGAACAGATCATCCAAAATGTTACACCCTAATACTGCAAGTAACTAAAAATATTGTATCCTGTTGGTCTTTAGAAGGCAAAAATATTATTATTATATATTAATATTTCCCCTGGACCCAGTGCTTGCACAGTACAAAGTATTTGGCTTGACTGAAAGCTATGCAAAAACCAAAAGATGGTATTTGATCTGTCACAGTTGTGTTGGATTTTTACTGGACGCTGAAGACCTCAGATTGTCATTGCTTTGGGTTGTTTGCTTCCATCTGGGACACCTGTGGGAGAAGGGATAAAATGAAATGAAAAACAACTTTGTAAAGATGTTCATTTAGCCGTTGTTTGATTCCAGGTTTACCACATACTATAGAGCACTGGTTCTCAAACTATGGTACGTGCACCACTGGTAGTATGCGAGCTGCTTCTAGTTGTATGGGAAGGAATATCAAATATATTTTAACATTTTAATAATTAATTTAAAAACGTATTACTAAAGCATTTCCTGCAATATTTTCTTTAATATCAGTTGGCTACGTAGTCAAGTTCATGCACATAGCACACATGTACATCCATGATTAGCTAGGAGCTAAAATATGTTGGTAAGATAGTCAGTGAAAATACACTGCAATCGTGGCTCCCAACAGGAACTATTGAGAAGAGAAGTGTGGAGCATGAGGATTAGTTGGAAGTATTTGGATGGTGGCCATGATAAGAGCTGTTCGAATCCTCTAAATGCTGAGGAAATGTGCTTCAGTGCTTCCTTTCCTATCTCCTTTAGTACAGTATACACTGGACCACCCTTTAACAAAGGAAAGGAGAGAATGCCGTCCAACAGTTCCTTGCACCAGCAAAATCTAAAGCGATGCACTATTGTAGTTTCACCACAGCACACCCACGTAAATGTAGAAACAACAGAGCACCTATGTATGCTTGTGACACCATCCAAAACTTATAGAAATCCAAATACAGAATAAATACAGATTTATTCTCTTTCATATTTGTCCAGTTAGGAATAATACTGAAGGACAACAGGGACAACAGATGCTAATTAGCTGTTAGCTAATTCTGGTGCAATTACTTTTAATTGTGTGCATCCCTATAAACAAAAAAAACAAGCTAACTGAATTTATATACAAAAACAAGTTAACAACATCCTAATCATATAAATACTATGTACATAAATGTTGCTTTGCTAAATCCCCCTATAAATCCACTATAGCGCCCATTGCCAGGAAACTCTGTCTAGTTAAATTTTAATATGAATGACTAACCCACTGCTTAATTCCCGATTTTATTTAATTAATATTTGAATGGCTTAACTTTCTCTACTTGTATATTCCTTTCTGTTACATTTCACTCAAGTTTGTTTTGTTTTTATTGTCAACAATATCTATTTTGTTGTTACTTCCTGTGAGGAATTGACGGTACCCTTTATATACACACTGAAAACGTCCTTTTGGACAGGAAGTTTCACAGCATTGAGTTTGTCACTGTACGTATTTTACATGTGTTATAAATAAAGTTGATTTAAAGTTGGGCCTTTAGCTCAGTGGCTGTTCTTATGAGAATGGAGTGAAACAGTTCCTGCCTTATGGATTGATTGCTACCTGGTTGTCGATGCACCTGAACTGCCAGGTCCAGCGTGTGTTATAGAGGAAAGGGCGGAGGTCAAAGCGGTTGTCATCAGGACTGTAGCTGACGGCATGGTACGATGGCGTTATCGTGGTCATCTTGTGGCGGTTCACTGAGTACATTCGGAAGAAGTGCTTCACCTTCTGGGCCACCTGAAGAACAATGGTAATACACTTTTATTTTCTAGGTAAAAGTCTTACTAACTGATGCTAAATGCAATACATTCATAATCAGTGGTCAAATTATGTTAGACAAAACTGGCCGAACGGTTTATTGTTTTTATGTTAAAATTGTGACCTAAAATGTGTAAAAGCTGCAATTTTAGCAGTGTCCAAATTAATAATAAGAGGTGTAAGAGGTGAAGGTTTTAACTGGTTAATTTTGCTGTTGATCTCAAATGTACTAACCTGTTCATGAATGTCGATTTTGTAACTTAGCTAAACATCAAAAAAGAGACTTGCTTCATAAGTGTCTGTGTGCCTATAAACTATTTATAGTTAACCAAAGCTGAGTGTCAAAGGACACAAACTCTAACCCTAACCCTAACCACTGTAAAGATAGCAAAATGGGCTTTATCTTTTAGCTGTTCAACAAGGCGGTGGGTCTTGCTCTAGATAAATAATCTAGGAGATTGCCTGATGTTAAAGCTGTATAAGGTCACTTTTTTATAAAAGTAACTTTTTGTCATATTTGCTGGAACTCTCACTATATCCTGATAGTAGTACATGGGACATCTGTTAAAAAAAAAATCAGGTTCCTCTGGCTGCTCCTAGTGCTCCTAATGGTATTTGTATGAATCCAACAGGCCTTGAACAAAAACAATCAATCAGATCAAAGAACGACAGTTGATGGTAAAATAAAGAAGGTTTGGGATACAGGGAATGAGACTCAACAATCAACTATCTTCAAGCTTCCAACACAAAGCATTGTAAAGGTAACTCATAAAAAAAAAAAGCTGCCTTCCACACTCCGCCTTAAGCATGTACCATTCAGGGACAGGCCCTTCAGTGGTTTGTCTCCTATCTCCAACACCAATCAGCCTCTGTTAGAATTGATAATGGGTCTTCTTCCTCTGCACCCATCTCCTGTGGAGTACCAAAAGGCTCCATATTAGGCCCTATTTTATTTCTGCTAAATATGCTTCCTTTGGGGTCTATTTTCTTCTATTTTTAATATCTCCTGCCATTGTAATGCCAAGCTGTACCTCCTGCTAAAACCTTGTGATCCATGCAGTGTTAACTCCCCTCTAAATTACATTAAGGATGTAAAATCCTAGATGGCAAAAAGCTTCTCTAAGTTAAAATACCATGAAACTGAAGTGCTAATCTTTGGCACAGCAGACAATTACGCATTACTGAATGTGAAATCCCACGCAAGAAATCTGTTATCTTTGATTCTGGCTTAGAATTTGACAAAATCAACTCAGGTGTCAGCACTGGCTTCTTCAATCTTCAATCTGCAAAATTAAATTAATTTCATTCAGGCAACTCACGTCTGAAGTATTTATTACAGCAGTATAGCATATTTCGATTTTGGCATCTAGGCTCCGACCTCATCACTCCACGCAGATATGTTTACATAGAGATATTGGGGAGTGATGAGCAAATACCTCAAACCCCTACCTGGAGCCTACAGGTGGATGCTGGGGCTTACAGCGCAGCAGGCAGCAATAGCTAACAGAGCAGCAGGCAGCAATACGGATGCAGGGCAACAGTGGCATTGACAGGGGCTGGGAAATTCTGCAGCTTAAATAGATTTTAAATAGATAGCCAGATTGGAAGGGTGTTCTTGGTTAGTGATTATGGAGTGAGGCATGTCATGTGTGTATAGCACATAGTTCACACTTTTATTTCCTCTCGCCTTGAATAATGCAATTCTCTCTACGTAGGAATCAGTCAATCAACTTTATCTTGCCTGCAGCTGGGTCAAAATGCAGCAAGACTTCTCACTGGTTACCAGCACTGCATGGACTGGAACCAGGCTACATCTCTGAACAGCACATCCCCTATTCCACCTCTTGACTGGATCAGGTGACCAATCAACTGAATCAAAAAACTGCTCTCCATTCCACACACCCAGTTAAAAACCAAAGGTGATCATGCATTTTGTTAATTTACGTTAATTTAATTTACTTATATGCTCTTATTTATCTGTGTGTTTTTTTGTGATTGTAACCAAAATAAGTAAAATAAAAATCAAGTCAATAATGCCATTACAGATTTGGTAAGGATCTCACTTCTCTCCTCTAAAAAGAGTTCATAAGCTGCATTTTTCTTCTTCTTTTTTCTTTAGTATTTATATATTTAAATGGACATCACATTATTCCCCTACTGGAGGATTACACTTTCGGAAATGTTAACTGACCTCGGTGGGTGACAGGGCATCCTTCCACATGTGAATGAGTTTACAGAACATACTGAAGGGGCCACACTTGGAGATCTTTCTGAGTCGTCCAATCACCGATAACTCAGAGTAGGTCATGCCCATGTCTGCCTGAGGAGAAAGGTGTGGTGGTGGTTAGTTTTTTGCTACCTTAGCATAAGCTGTTTTATCTACAGAGGGAGTGGGTCCTCTTCTATGGAGTTCGCCATTGACTGAACTGAACTGCCATGTTTCTACAGTAGCCCAAAATGGACTAACCAAACACTGTATCTAGATAGACAGACTCTTGTTTTGTGGCCTATGTAGTTTCTCATAGACGTTTACAATGATAGAATGAGGCAAGGGCGTTGTAGTGTGCAGCTGCACCACCAGATGCCACTGAATCCTACACAATGGACCTTTAAAAAGGTCTTCAGATACACAGTATTTCCATTTCTTACCTCGTCTGTTTGCGACACCTGTCCGTCTGTCAGTGGCTCCAGTTCAGCTGTGGGCGGAGCGGCCAGGATGCTGCACATATGCATTTTTTAAGTATCATTTATATTACTATGACTATAGCCAGACTTCAAACAGCCCATGAATTCCTCAATTTGCACCATTAAAATACAACTTTGCATTAAAGATACTGCACAGGTTTCAAAATGATTAAAACCTGTGTCGTGGAAATTCTTCTCAAAGTTGAGAGGTGCTAAATCTCTGAAGAACTTTCAAGCCGGTGTGATAATCAAGTCACTTTAATTCATGCTGCATGGAGAGAAGGTCACGTCACCTGTGTGTCTTGCAAATGTTACTCCTGTAAATCCAGGTCTCTCTCACCAAATGGTCCTTTGATGTGTGACTTCCCCCTGGCTCTTCTTATCATAAACTCAACCTTTTGACCAGGGGTATATCTATTTTATTACCCCCAAATCCTGTTTCTCTCCCACACCTGAGTTTAATTTGAAGTTAGAAACAGAAGCCAAATACATAGCGTGGAAGTTCAGAAAAAGAAGTAAGAGGTTAATGCTAAATACCGCAATCTCTACAATTTGCCTCAAAAGTAGAATCTCTCTAAAATCATCAGATTGCCCACTCCTACTATATATACAGTGGGGAGAACAAGTATTTGATACACTGCCAATTTTGCAGGTTTTCCCACTTACAAAGCATGTAGAGGGCTATCATTTTTTATCATAGGTACATTTCAACTGTGAGAGATGGAATCTAAAACAAAAATCCAGAAAATCACATTGTGTGATTTTTAAATAATTCAATTACATTTTATTGCATGACATAAGTATTTGATCACCTACCAGCCAGTAAGAATTCCAGCTCTCACAGACCTGTTAGTTTTTCTATAAGAAGCCTTCCTGTTATCCACTCATTACCTGTGTTAACTGCGCCTGTTTGAACTCGTTACCTGTATAAAAGACACCTGTCCACACACTCAATCAAACAGACTCCAACGTCTCCACAATGGCCAAGACCAGAGAGCTGTGTAAGGACATCAGGGAAAAAAATTGTAGACCTGCACAAGGCTACAGGACAATAGGCAAGCAGCTTGGTGAGAAGGCAACAACTGTTGGCGCAATTATTAGAAAATGGAAGAAGTTCAAGATGACGGTCTGAGAGACTGATCTCCCTCAGTCTGGGGCTCTATGCAAGATCTCACCTCGTGGGGCATCAATGATCATGAGGAAGGTGAGGGATCAGCCCAGAACTACACAGCAGGACCTGGTCAATGACCTGAAGAGAGCTGGGACCACAGTCTCAAAGGAAACCATTAGTAAGACACTACGCCGTCATGGATTAAAATCCTGCAGCGCACGCAAGGTCCCCCTGCTCAAGCCAGCGCATGTCCAGGCCTGTCTGAAATTTGCCAATGACCATCTGGATGATCCAGAGGAGGAATAGGAGAAGGTCATGTGGTCTGATGAGACAAAAATAGAGCTTTTTGGTCTAAACTCCACTCGCCGTGTTTGGAGGAAGAAGAAGGATGAGTACAACCCCAAGAACACCATCTCAACCGTGAAGCATGGAGGTGGAAACATCATTCTTTGGGGATGCTTTTCTGCAAAGGGGACAGGACGACTGCACCGTATTGAGAGGAGGATGGATGGGGCCATGTATCGCGAGATCTTGGCCAACAACCTCCTTCTCTCAGTAAGAGCATTGAAGATGGGTCGTGGCTGGGTCTTCCAGCATGACAACGACCCGAAACACACAGCCAGGGCAACTAAGGAGTGGCTCCGTAAGAAGCATCTCAAGCTCCTGGAGTGGCCTAGCCAGTCTCCAGACCTGAAGCCAATAGAAAATCTTTGAGGGGAGCTGAAAGTCCATATTGCCCAGCGACAGCCCCGAAACCTGAAGGATCTGGAGAAGATCTGTATGGAGGAGTGGGCCAAAATCCCTGCTGCAGTGTGTGCAAACCTGGTCATGAACTACAGGAAACGCCTGATCTAATCTCTAAAACTGATTGTAATTGCAAACAAAGGTTTCTGTGCCAAATATTAAGTTCTGTTTTTCTGATGTATCAAATGTCATGCAATAAAATGCAAATTAATTACTTAAAAAAAATACAATGTGATTTTCTGGATTTTTGTTTTAGATTCCGTCACTCACAGTTGAAGAGTACCTATGATAAAAATTACAGACCTCTACATGCTTTGTAAGAGGGAAAACCTGCAAAATTGGCAGTGTATCACATACTTGTTCTCCCCACTATAGAAGGAATGGGAGAAACTTCCAGCACTGTGGGGGTGTTTTTCAGCAGCAGAAACAGGAGGACTGGTTAGGGTTGAGGGAAACCTGTTAACCTTAATAAAAACCTTGTTCAGGGTGCTCAGGACCTAAGAGTGGACCAAAAGTTCACTTTCCAACAGGACAAGGACAGTAAACACACAGCTAAGACAATGTAGTTGCAACAGTTCGATCTCTCTAGAACTGTCAGCTGAACTTACCCTCTCAGAGCAGTAAGCTGGAACTGCTCAACGCAGTACAGCAGGAAGCTCTTCAGGTCGGTCTTGCTGATGCCTCCTATTGGGTTGATGTCAGCACTGGAGCAGTCGTACTTTGTGAAATATCCTGTCAGACTGATGAAGAAAAGTTATTTATTGGGAGAAAAGTTAATTATCTTACAAAGAGGTGAAAAAGAGCCTTTATCTTTTTGTAGTTGCACGGCTTTAGCTAGACTAATAAGGTTTTGTGGCTGCCGTTTGACCACTGAATAGCCTCAAATTAACATCTGTTACCAGCAGAAGTACCTAAAGTACACACATTCTTTAATCTTTCAATTTTTAGAATTGATTTTTATTCAATTTAACTTTATTATAGACACATAGGTCCAAATTAACATAAAAATGTGAAAAAGTGTCAAAGTCCAAAGGGACTAAAACACAGACATTTGTTCCAGTGTTTCCAAAGACGAGGAGTCCCTTTGTGTAAGTTTGCGTAGGCTGGGTTTAAGCTGTTATGTCAAAAAATTCATAAAAAAATCGAAGGCAATTTGCTCCAGTGAGAATAAAATCGCTAGTAGTTTGGTGATGTATGGCTCAACATTTTACTATGATTGGTGAAACTCGCGGTAAAATACAATGATTAGTGATATTTGTGTAAAAGTTGTGTGGATTGGACAAATGCAAGTTGAGAAGAACACAAAGTGATTGGGTTAATTTGCTTAATTGTTGCGATTGCATCTTCCTGGAGGGACTGAAAAACAAATAAAATTTCAGAATTTCCCTCAGATGCACTCAAACTAAAGTAATTAGTCTGTGTTGAAAATGTAAAGAGTAGAAAGTTCAGATATTTGTGTAAAAATGTAGGGAGTAAAAGTAAAAATTAGAAGAAAGGAAAAAGTACTGAAGTACAGTATTTGTATTTAGGTAATTCCCACCTCTGGCTACCAGGTGTTTAAACCAAAAGCAGCTCTGCATTAGAATACATCAGGGGCTGTGAAGGTGGGGGCATGTGGTGAGTCAGTGAAGTACGATCAAAGAGGACCTGACTGCGCCAGATGGTTTGGCAAGTCGTCGTTGAAGAGAAGGGCAGGCACTTTGAAAAAGTACTTGGCAGGTGATTGGATTAACCATCTATCACAGGCGACTTTCAACCAATTAGATCAATGAACCATGTAATGATGCCCATTATGCCTATGAAACACCTGCAATCATAGAAATTATGTTCTAAAGAATTATGAAATATCGCTGACACATCTGTAGAGGTAATACCTCTCATCTACATTGGCTGAGCCCAGCACCAGCAATCCTCCTGGCTTCCCCCGGGCCCACAGACTCAGCTGGGCAAACAGGTATGCCAGGACCATCCTGACCCGAGCCTAGGAACACACACACACACACACACACACACACACACACACACACACACACACACACACACACACACACACACACACACACACACACACACACACACACACACACACACACACACACACACACACACACACACACACACACACAGAGGAAGTGAATACCAACCCTGCAGCACTGACAAAAAGTACAAAACGGTCACAGTTGTCTCTGCAGCATTAGTGTTAAGACTGTGGTCTAACTGTCACATTGTGTTTGTGAACTGAAAAAAAGTGATGATGACAGAGAGCAAGAGTAAAAACAGTGTCTAACCTGCACATTCTGCATAGCCAGGTTTTCTCTGTGGCTTCCTCCATTGGTGCGGAACTGAGGCCACTTTCCAGTAACCACTGAGAAGATACTCAGAATGCCTTTCACTGCCATGTCTATGTTAATGTTCATGTGTGTGCTGCAAACCAAGAGATGAATAACAATGGATGAAAACTCAAAGGAGAATAAATCTATAGATCATAATATACACTTAAGTGTTCACCCAGACAACTGGGAAGTGTACAGAAGCCTCACTGTTTATGTGGAAACTCTGTTTCAAGGCCACTTAACTTAAGCTAACCAAAGCCTTTTATTGGCAGCACTGTAGACATATAGCTGCAGTGTAGAGCCAACTGGATTTTGAATATGATCATGGCTATTATTCATTATTAGATGGCAGAACCAACATATATTACATACTATCTTTCCATATTAATTCTCATAATTCTTACATTATGCTTCTGTGTTCTGCTCTTTACATTCATTATATTCTATTTATAATGAATGTGAATTCAATTCAATTTTATTTGCATATTGCAAAATCATAATAGAAGTCTCTCAGGACACTTTTCAAAATAGAGCAGGTCTAGACCGTACTCCATTATTTACAGAGTCCCAACAGTTCCACCATGAGCAAGCACTTGGTGACAGCGGCAAGGAAAAACTTTATTTTAAGAGGCAGAAACCTCGGACAGACCCCGACTCTAGGTGGATGGTCGTCTGCCTCGACCAGTTGGGGTGTGTGACAGAGTGAGTGAGAGCGAGAGAGAGAGAGAGAGAGAGAGAGAGAGAGAGAGAGAGAGAGAGAGAGAGAGAGAGAGATTAGGTAAAGACAGAAGGACAGAGACGGAGACAAAGGTGCACAGCAACAACAGTAGCAACAACTACACTAATAGTAGTGACTGATGATGATGATGATGATGATGAACATGAAGAAGATGATGACGACGACAATAACGATGGGGGACAATGAGCAGTGATTATAGTTATAATAGTAACTGTAGTAATCACACGTCTGTTAAAGGACAATTCCGGTGCAAAATGAACCTGTGGTTAATAACGTGTACCGAGTTGGTCCGTTCTCTGGGATATGTTTTCATTCTAATCGACCGTGACCGGTTTTAGCACAAACCGCTAATTATCTTATAACGCTGGTCAACGGGGCACAGAGTAACGTGAAAAGAAATCTGTTTCTATACCACAAAGAAGACTCACAATAGCACCACACTAACACAGTAGCATAATGAGGGCCCCTACCTATAAACCGAAGCATTGAGAACTTTGTAAGTGTACAGACAGTTTATTAAAAAGATAGTTTAGAACAACAGTAGCGTTCATGCAGGCGGGCGCTATCTTGGGAAAACAGTCGTGATCAGTCCAACTCTCTGAGATGAAGACTTGAACGCACCATCTCACGTGAACTCATGTTGTTGGCGGAAGAAAGCACTGGCGCAACAGAGACTACTAGTCTACTAGTGCTTCCACAGGATACACACTAAAGAGATGGCGGATTATTCAACCGAATTTGAAGACATCGACAACAAACCCTTTCAGTTTGATGGACATCCTTATCTTTTCGAGCCGGAATATACAGACGAAGAGCTGCGGGAGCTCCGTGAAAGGGCGAGAGAGAGAGAGAGAGAGAGAGAGAGAGAGAGAGAGAGAGAGAGAGAGAGAGAGAGAGAGAGAGAGAGAGAGAGAGAGAGAGAGAGAGCTACCGGTAGTCAATGCCGCAACACAGCCTCTTACTTCGGGAAACTGGTGGTGTACCTGCGGACATTGTGAAGCTATGGCCACCGAAGAGGAGTGTCTGTGTTGTTCGGAGTGGGACCTGTTGCGTGCGACACCCTAGAGACGCAGTGTTTTGTACAGTCAGTACAAATTTCCCCTCTCTGATAAACAGAGCTGTACTTGAAACTTTTTTCCATGTCCCGAAAATAAATTGGAGGCAGCGACTCATACTGGAGGGACCAGATGGACAGTTATCCACTGAGTAAGTACACTAGACAAGTTGTGTTTTACATCGGTGCGATTATTTCTGATATATTGAGCAAATTCAACTGGTCGCGTGACTGTTTTCCCAAGATGCCCGCCTGTATACGTGAACGCTACTGTTGTTCTAAACTATCTTTTTAATAAACTGTCTGTACACTTACAAAGTTCTCAATGCTTCGGTTTATAGGTAGGGGCCCTCATTATGCTACTGTGTTAGTGTGGTGCTATTGTGAGTCTTCTTTGTGGTATAGAAACAGCTTTCTTTTCACGTTACTCTGTGCCCCGTTGACCAGCGTTATAAGCTAATTAGCGGTTTGTGCTAAAACCGGTCACGTGCGATTAGAATGAAAACATATCCCAGAGAACGGACCAACTCGGTACACACGTTATTAACCACAGGTTCATTTTGCACCGGAATTGTCCTTTAATACATACGTTAGTATTTCTTTACTTTTTTACCCTTCCCATATGGTAATTTGATGCAGAAACAGATTATTAGACATTTTAGTCTTTATTGATGGTGACATTAGCAGCCACCTAATTATTAAAGGCCATTATCAAAGTTTGATTTTAACAATCTGAATAACAATTAAAATGCTCTTCTTTGGACATTTCATTCTCAAACACCATGTGCATGCTACTTTGTCTGCTTAAGCACGTAGCACCTTCAGGTTGCATCCCGCCTACCTGCCGATCTGATTGGCCAGGTCTTTGGCCCTGCTGCATGTGGCCTCTGAAGAGTTTTCACTCCCCATGTAGCAGGTGGTGAAGATGCGGCTGCACAGCTCCCTCGGGTGCTGAGGACGGTAGGAGTCATCCCCTACCACTCTGTGAACATCCTCCAGTACCTGGCTGTCTGAGAGGTAAAGAGAAAGAGAAAAATGGACAGAAGACAGGAAGGAGGGGGAAAAGTAGACTTTGTTGAGAATGAGGAGAGACAGGAAAAACAGGAAAGTGGGGAGGATGGTGACCAACAGTTCATACTGTTGTAGAGTTTCCTCTGCTTCATTAACATGCTAACAGGTTCTTAGAAATATCATTATACATCTCTCAAAGAGACCAAAGCCACAGTGCATTAGTAAGTCTCTCAGTACTTCCTATCTCTCCCTACCCTGTCTCTGACCCGTATTTGATAAGATGTAATCTCAGGGATCCCTGTCTGTTAAAATGTAGTTATTCCATAACTGTCTGTACTGTAGATTGGCAGATTAACAGTCAAGAGTGTTAAAACCTATGAGCAGGACAGTCATTCTTATGCATTCACTTTTAGCCAATGAAATTAATACAGAATACCAGCTTTATTACCACCTTATCCTTTACATATGTCAAGAGAATATGTGTGTTTACAGTAAATTGAAATAAAAGCAAAGTGAATCATACGCACTGCCGTCCTCTACAGCCTGGCAGAGCAGCACACACATAGAGTGGACAATGCAGGCAGTGGAGGAGCTGTCGACACCTCCGCTCAGAGGCAACAGAAAACCCGCCTGGGAAATAAAAACAATCACAATCACCAAAGTGAGTTCACATGGTCAAAATCTAAATACTTCCTACTACCTACCTTTGAGTTATAAAAATCCAAATGAGACATAATTACATACAGTGTTCATATGTGTTCCTCCTTACCTGTCCACTTCTCCTCAGGTAGTCCCACAGCCAGCAGGCCGGCCCTAGACTGAACAACACAGGTGTCAGCAGGTGGCAGAAAATAAACGTTTGGGATCAAATGAAATGTATTATGTACCAGATCTCTTCCTCTGGTGTGTGAAAGTGCCATGTTATTGGTTGGTGGGTAGGGAGGTAGATATCATCCCCATCATCGGACAAAGAAAAGTCAACTTTGACCCTGTGGCAAGGTTTGTGTTCACTTTCCTACAACAGAAGTATGAGTGTGAGAAGAAATGGAGAGAAAAAGTGGCCCATACTCAAAACTATCAAACAGGGATCAAGAAATGATAAAGGCTGTTTTTAAGACAATTACATTAATATGAATTTTAAGTATGATCATGTCATCCCCTGTGTGAAAAACATTTGCTTAAAATTTTATTTTTGGCCACCTGGGGGCAGCGTAAAGGAGTGAAAACACATTTATCAAGAATTTGCTGGCTTCTTTTGGGATTGTTGCGGCCTAAAATACCTGATGTCATAGCAGCTTTTATAAAAACTTCTGATGCAAGTTGCGATGTTTTAGGCATTTTATGTAACAAAATTGCGGCAGCATACAAAAATTGCAAAAAAATTGAATTAAATCACTAGTAGTTTGATGATATATAGCTCAACGTTTTGCGCAGGGGACTGCAATGATTGGCCAAATTTGCGGAAAAGTTCAGTTGATAACTAATGTTCTTTGCTCAGTATGGGAGAAACTTGCAAGAATTTAAGAATATTAAACTTAAGTTAACTTAAGTGAGATCTCAAAAATAAACAAGAGCTCCCTTTAGAATGTGGAACATTTTCTGTGTTGGAAAGACTTTATTCATACATATTTGGCCACTATTAACACTTGTAGTTTTGTCTTTTATTACATAATAGACCATATTTATTAAGTGTTATCAGGAGACAATGAGTATTCTTGTGACAATACCACCATATAGGCCCATACTGAACAAAGCCTATTACGATTGTAATTAATGTACAACAACTTTGTTACTTACTATCAACTAGCAGTAGGAATGCACAATAATTATAGGCAGAAAAATTATTGGGAAATTTCTATTTTTATAAATTATTGATTAATATTAAGAATAATTTATTTTTAATTCTTATGCAAAATGATTGATAGGCTTTGACTTTACCAGAAACCTTTGAAGAGTCAGAACTATTTGTTGTTGTTGTTGTTGTTAACAATAGTGATGTTGTAGTGGGTTGGGAAACGCCATATACTAAGTTCTTCTTTAAACAGACACCCCACAGAATGATTCATTCTAACACTTCAATCTTTACATCAAGGTAGTACACACAATCACACCAGTAGGTGGTGCTCATGCGCAGCTCAGAAATAGACAAGCCCTGACGCTAACTTTCGTCATCTCTCTATCAGTCCACAGGTACTGAATAACTATTTTTCTATCTTATATAATGTGAATGCATCATAAATTGTTCTGTAATGTTGTAACATGATTTGAGATGTGGGGTAAGTGTAATTAGTTTCATTTTGTAGCTAATTGTTCAGACGAGCGTTGTCATGCTTTGTAGTTCGTTTATGAACTCCAGTTTTACACAGTAGTTTTCTAAGTGTAAATTTACTGACATTAGCATACTGCAACAAGAGAAAGTATGTTTTAAAGGTTGTTCAAAGTATTAGCCAGCCGCAGTGTGTAAACTGTGATGAGAAAATGTCATGTTAAAGTTAGTTTCCCTTTCCAAGTCACTCGTTAACATGCCGTGGTTGCGCCATATTGTTAACCGCTGCTGTGAAGTGCAAGTGTAGGTAAGAGAGTATGATGTATAAGAATGTTGGGAAAGGCTTTGTGTATGTTACGTTAGTGCTGAATGCTTGTTAGCAGGATTGTATGTGTTAATATATGAGTGAATGTAGGTTATAGAGTAATTGTGTCTTTTAAGTTTTATTATTTTGATATATATTAGTGTTTTAAGTTAAGCCAATTTTGGTTATTTGTAACGTGTACCTGAATTCATGTAAACTTGTCTTAATTTAGACAAAATGTTTTATATTATTTATTGTATTTAAGTTACAGCATTTGTTGTTTAATTTGTGAAATATTTTGGTATAATTTTGACATGCACTTAAATCAGAAAGCTTGTAAATGTGACTGGAAATTGTTTGTAAATGTAAAAAAGCTCTAGCATGAGCAAGACGCTAACTTTCGGCATCTCTCTGTCAATCCACAGTTTATATATTGGCTACACAGTGCTCCCTAGCGTGTGTAACCCTTGCTGCTGGTCCAGATTTCCTCTAGGTCTGGTGCCGGTAAGAATGTCAGTTGGAATAATAAATCATCCATCTTTGCTCACTATATCTCAGCCTTTCTACCTTCAGGTGTGCATAAACTACAGGTAATGAACTTCTTTTTAAACACAAAAAGGTTATCTCATCGATATCTGCCATGAGAAGCGGGTAATTATCGTAACAGCTGAAAATAAATCCATGTCATGCATCCCTGATAAGCAGTAATTCGGAGGTTGTTGAGGGAAAACTTTTAGTTAACAGTCAAGTAGGTGTAGGTTATGGTCATGCAGAAAAAGGCATTAATAAGTGCTTTATAATGACTAATAAAGTGCCAATATGCTACCAATAAGCAACTGGTTAATGCTGAATATGTGCACCTTGATATTAAGTGTTACTGTTTGTTCTGAATTAACGACTCACTCACCATTCCCACTAAAACCATGATTTGAGGCTTAGCATGGCTCTGACATGTCCTAGCTCAGCATTTTAACTTTTGATTCAGGACTTGACTTGAGATCTGTGTCCCACGACCAGTGGGCTTGCTCACAGAAGAGGCACCTCATCATGAGACTTCATCATGAGAGCATGATCCCAGAGCAACCTCTGTTCCAGTCTCATTAGCTCTAATATGTGACATACAAATGTCAGGCTGGCTATTTTCACCCAGGGTCAATAAAGACATACAGTGTTTACACTCAACTGTAAACAGCTACACCACATTACAATCAACTTCCAGTATGTTCGCAGAGGAGATTATAGGGCCACAAAATAAATACAGGGAAAATAATAACCAATTATATTTATATCACACCTTTTAAACCTGAGGGGCCTAGCAGTGGTACAAGGCATTAGTAGCTCACTAATACTCAAGCAAAGTCTTATAGATGAGGAGGAATGATCCTGAATTAAATCCTAAATTGAATCAGATATGGCAGCGATATGAGGTCTTACAGAGTAATCTTGCTGCTGACTACCTGTAACCAGCATAGATGTAAAAGGAAAACTGGGCACAGTGTTGGAAGCGGCATTACGTTCATTCGTATGAAAGTTGCTCAGTGGCGCATGAAGCCAAAAAAGCCACTTCCCGCTGCAAAGATGCTCTATGCAAGCAAACAAACAGACTACTGAAAGATTTATCTTCGTGCCATTCTTCAGATACCCAATGGGACGAACAATACCACAGTTAAATAAAATACTTATTGCAAATATCTAATAACACGATGCATCAGGACCAAAAAGCTAAAAAATACATGTGCTGTGCATTCAGAACAGCAGTGCTTCTCCCTGGTTGTCAGCTAGTTCAGAGGAAACCAAAGTAAACCAAACAACAAAAATACATTCCAGGTACACACCAGGATACTAGAGTTGACAGTGTTTTATTGCTCTATCAAAAAACAATGTCATTACTAGTATCCTGCTCTGCACTGGAATATATTATTGTTGGTCAGAATATTTTGGTGCATAAGGTCACGTCAAACCCTGCAATCTGGTAGTACTACATTCCTATCTAAGTGCTCTGACAAATAACTGTATTCTAATGATTTTGGAACAATTTTTGAACGATTTTGTGTTGTTGTTGTTATTTATTTTATGAAAATGTTTTAACAGCCCCCTCAGTCACATCATCTTGTGCCTGGCCTGCTTCAAATATACAGCAGTCACCAGTTTGATCACTATTGTCAAGCAGCGTGCAACCTACCTTAATTTCCGGACTATAAGCCGCTACTTTTCCCACACGCTTTGAACTCTGTGGCTTAAACAATGATGCGGCTAATCTATAGATTTCTACGGGCTAACGTCCTCCAGGGGGCGCTCTAGCAGGAAGTGCAAGAGCAAGACTGAATTCGTTCAATTAATTCAGTCATTTTGCGCATCATGCCAAACCCTCATCATGGCAAACACAAGAAGAAATGCACATGATGCAGCTTTTAAGTTAAAGGCAATCGATCTGGCTGTCGAAGAAGAGCTGCTGCACTAAGCTTGGCATCAATGAATCGATGGTGAGACGTTGGAGACGGCAGCATTTATTTAATTAAAAATAAAAAAAATCTTTCTGTGTAAATATCTCATGTTACAACGTGGACACCTGCGGCTTATAGACAAGTGCGGCCTATATATGTACAATTTTTTTTTTCTTTTTAAATTCAGTTGGTGCGGCTTATATTCAGGTGCGCTCAATTGTCCGGAAATTACGGTAAGTATGGTAACCATAGCAATAACAATTATGGTGATTGCTAAATTTCATTTAACCATCATATTGGCCGCATGCTTACATGCTCACAATGATATTGTTAACATGCAGAGGTACATCAGGTATAATGTGTGCCACGTTCACCGTTTTACATTAGCATGTTTGCATGCTAGCATTGGTTGTTCAGCAGTAAACACAAAGTAAAGCTGAGGCTGCAGCTAGTTTGTCAGAATCTAAAGTACTGAGCACATTGAAGGTTTGGCCTGATACAACCTGCTAATTAGTCAGCTTCAGAGACGATGGAGGGTAGTAATGATTAATGTAAATGCTTTCTCACCATGTGTGGCTGGCATAGTTCTCCTCTGTAGTTTCGCACATCCTCAAGGTCAAGAGTGGCTGTAATCACCTCCTACGCACGCACGCACAGACAGACAGACAGACAGACAGACAGACAGACAGACAGACAGACAGACAGACAGACAGATCAGTCTCTGGCTCTTGTGTGACTTAGGAATGTGACCTGCCCTGCAACTTACCTAACACACCTGCCTGGGCTAGGGTTAGGGTTAGGGTTACTGAAAGTACTACATGTCTTCACACTGCACTGTACAACTCAACTGCCTTCCCCTAGTAAACAGCACTCACTTTATAATTGTGAACTCCATAGAGACGTATTTGCAGGTGAGCCGGTTCTTTCTTTTCTGGTTCTTTTCATGTCCATACATACCACATCATTAAGGGAGAACTGCGCTCCCTGTGCCACAATGTCTCCATTGATGGCCACCAGGGCGCAACCATCGTAGTAGACACGGTCTCCATCGCAGCCCCTCTGGTTGGCATACAAGTAGATACCTCCACTCTGTAACAACACCACCAATGCACTGAATGCAGGACTGATTATAGTCAAAACTATTGCAGACTCCAAGCTCTAAATACACAGAATGTGATGGTCCTACAGTTGTGGGACAACACCACCCTCTGGTGATCTCTGCCTTGCATTGCCTGTGCAAGTACAGATAGGTGACGAGGAAAACAACATAAAGGGTCCTGGTGGAATGATTTCAGGAATATAAAGGAATTTATATAATAGAACTCCAATAACCAGCATATGTGTTCTACATAGTCTTAAACAACAATAATCACACATTTTTCATGCTTCTATATGAACAGACCAGCAAACGTCTGAGGACTCTGGGTTAAAGTATACCTTGGTGGTGGCTGACTTGATCAGGTTGACTCTTTGGTCAGCTTTACGGAGCTCGTGGTGGCTAGCAGATGAATTAGTGAAGATTTCAACCCCATCCAGACCCATCGAAATATGGGGGCTGAGGAGATGAGAGAAGAGTTAGGATTGTTTCAGACAGCACACATATAATTCTTACACAACCCTCTGTCATTCTACCTTCTGGGGCTCCAGAGCTCTGCACATATCTCAGTGCCGATGCACGTGTCCTTTGTGGACAGCACACAGTCACCAAATGGGACTGTATCCTGGTGAACACAGAAACAGAAGCATAAATAACACGGACCTCCTCCTTGTTAATTGGCTGATCAGTCTCAGCTAAACCCAGATGATGACCGTTTTTGTTTCTGACCTGCCCTGTTACCTCCTGGATCATTCTAGGCAAGAAATACTCCTCCACTTGCCTTGAAGAAACAAGCATAAAGACTTTTACTACCATCCATTTCATTTGCAAAAGTGAAATACAATCGCATTAGTAGTAAGAAAAAGGCCAAAGAGTTCTGGCCTCTCCCAGCATTTTATTAAATGTATTAAAATGAGTACCAGTACATCTGATTTTTATCCACTGAAGTACGTACTGATGCCATTTTTGGTCCAATTTGACAAAGCATCCAGCCACAGAGGAGGGCAAGAATAAACAAGAATAAAAAAACATGGTGAAAGTGAAAACTATGATGAGAGATAAAGATGGTGAAAGTGAAGCCAATTAAAACATAATGTAATCGAATGGAAAATATAAATACAAAAGAAACACAAAATAAGAGAATAAAAGCCATAAAATAAATTAAATAAAAAGACAATATCACATAAAAGCAGAAAAATAAGAAGTGGTTTAAAGGTCCAGTGTGTAGGATTTAGCAGCATATAGCAGTGTAGTTGCAGATTACTGCTGACACGCTTCCTCCTCCCCTTCCAAACTATGGTGGCCGCAAAACGTTCAAAACATTTTAACAGCCAGTGTTCGGTTGGTCCGGTACCGGGCTACTGTAGAAACAAACATGGCAGCCACCAGGGAAGGCTCCAAAACAGCTCATTCTAAGGTAATGAAAACACAACAATTCCTATTGTCAAGCAATTATACACTAATGAAAACATACCTATGAATATAATATTCTATGTATGTCAATAGAATCTCCTAAATGTTACACACTGGACCTTTAATAAGTGGGATAGTTCTATGTGGAAAACATCCCTGTATTGCCCTGATTACACCCTAACAAATAAAATATCAAGGGTAAAATTCATTGCAAATGAAAGTGGTACATGTATTAAATAATTACTATATCAACAATAAGTGTAGTCATAAAGATAGAGACAGAGCAATAAGAAGGGCTTAAAATATAATATGATAATATGAGTGCCACACAGTCTGTGGTAGACTTCTGAGTGATGATCACTGACCTTAACTGGTTCCAAGGTGAGAACCAGCGCAGCTCTCTGTAGTTCCCATGGTTGGCCATCAGCATTTTAGGTCTGATCAGCAGTATCTTTCTACAGGATGGGAGGGAAATACGGAGGGATCTGTGCTCTGTATGCTCCAACTGAATGTTGTCAGATGTATAAAAATACTGAACATGTCATTTATGAGACTGCACTGGTGTGCTGACGTACTTGTTGAGGAACAGGACCCGACAGTTGTAACGCACATTGTGATGCATGATGGGCCTGAGGGGAACAGAATCCAAAACACTTATAATAGCAAACAGGACCTCCAGCTACACGTGAGATTGTTTTTAGGTAAAAACAAACTCATCCCGTCAGTCCAATTTCAGAAATATGGGCTGCAAATGTCTGAGCCATCCTCTCAACCATGAATAGTGACTGGATTATTATTTTTTAATTAAAAAAATATATTTCCCACTCTTTTGAATAAATATTTTTCAGGACATTTTCCAGGAGCTTTAGGAGCACTTGCTCATCAATATTATATCATAACCTAATCATATAATTTACCAGTAGGCCTAGTATTGATACATTTTCCCAGTTTGTTCATGATGAAGTGTCTCAGGTTTATGGGACACTTGCTCTCTGCTGTTCTCCCCACTGTCTGCAGTGTCTCTGGAGATTTCAATATTATTTTCAGTTAATGTAGGTGATCTGAGTGAGGGACTGTAATACAATTACATTACATTACAATTCTTCCAGGATTTTGGTAATTTTAATAAATTTTCAGGTGTTTTCATGACTGGAAAACTAGTGTCTAAATTTTGCAGGATGTGTGGTAACCCTGAGTTAGAGTCACAGCAGTTTGTAACACAATGACTGTTACTGACGCCTCTCATATGAAATAAACTTTTAAATGTTGCCACTATATGAGATCTTCACGAGACAACATCTTACTCATTGTTTACACAGGACTGCAGGACTTTGGGACCATTATACTTTATATACCCACATTCCCACGTCACAGATGATGTCCTGGGTGATGGGAGACTCCAGAAGCTTCCTCAGGGCCTGAAAGCTGTGGAGCAACGTGTCGGACTCATAGAAGTGGTCCGCACAGCCATATCCGCTGTAACAAATGTAGTGAATAAGAAAACTGAACCTCCAAATATTACCTACTATTCCATATCAATATGGGAATATAATATATTGATGTCAGTGTGAAACCTAAGGATGAATGTTTCTCCCATCATACCATATCTCCAGCTCTGGGCCCAGTCTGTATTTAGCTCCATTAGCCCTAGCAATCTCAATACCTGCAGAGAAACACACACACAGTCAACAGACAAGATTATTGTTTCATGGCAGAAGTTATTGTTGACTAGAATCAGAGTTCAGTTGTGTGGTGTTAAGTGGTTTCTACAACCACACATACTGCATGCACCTCCACAAAGTCACAAGCCCTGTGAGGAGAGCAACGGTATGACATCACAGTATAACACAATTGCACTTTTATATAATCTGTAACATTTCCACATTATAATGTCTATAAACACTAGACACACTAACAATGCTCAGACCCAGAGAAATCTGTCATTTTATTGTGTCAGCGTTGTGGTAGTCTGCCAGAAGCTTTATAATGGTACTATTTATTCTTTTTAAGCCACATTGTTACCATCCACTGTTTAGATCTTGGTGCTTTTTAACTCTAGATTTGAACCGGATGAAGGATTTTAGTCATCGGACGTCTGGATCTTAAGTTATCAGAGAAACAAGCTGAGCTAACGTTAGCAGCAGCTTGGCTCGCAGCCCCTCCGGGACGTCCATGATGTATTTTTCCCTGAATTTAAAGCTGTAGTAGGTGACTTATATAAAAAAGAACCCTTTTCCATATCTGCTGAAACTTTGACTATTCTGACAGTACTACATGGGACAGATAATCTGTCTGTCTTCAGGTCCGGTGGATTCTTGCAAATGCCATTAGGAGCTCTAGCAGGAGCAAGAGGTTCACAGATTATCCGTCTCGTGTACTATGCTACTACTGTGCACTTCAGCCATCTTCTTTGCTGTGGTCTGCTGGAGAGGGGGCAGTACGGACAGGGACAGGAAGAGACTCAATAAACTGGTCAGGAGAGCGAGCTCTGTCCTGAACTGTCCTCTGGACTCCATAGAGGAAGTGGGTGAGAAGAGGATGTTATGTAGGGGGTGAGAGGTGTCGTCCATGATGGATGTCAGCTTCACTGACACTGGGGGGTCCCTGAGTAGCTCCTTCAGCAGCAGACTGTTACACCCACAGTGTAAGGAGAAGTTCCGCAGGTCTTTCATCCCTGCCGCTGTCAGACTCTACAACACCTAATCAATGTTGTAATTTCTGTTTTTCAAATTACCACCACTTCTCACCATAGCTTTTATATCTGTGTTTATCTATTTCTTTTTTTCACTCCAATGAATTACTTGCTGCTGTGACGAGTGAATTTAGTATAATCTACTACTGTGATGTGAAATATAGCAAATATGACAAAGTTATTTTTATAAGTTACCTTTAGGCCTATAACTTGGTCGAAAAGGTGGCCATCATTAAATGATGTGTTTTTTTGTTTTTTATTCATCTAAACTCGAGTGTTAAATTGAACAGTATTTGACACCAAACTGATGTGGCAGCTGGGGTGGACACCGTGGACACCGTGGACACCGTGGACACCCCGGACACCCCGGACACGGTGGACACCGTGGACACCCGGACACCCCGGACACCGTGGACACCCCGGACACCGTGGACACCCCTCTAGATCCGCGCCTGCTTCCATTCCACTGTGACTAACAAGTATCCCAACAAAAGGGGATTTCTTTGACATTGTGGTCACTGTTACACCTCGCAGTAAGTGAAATAGTGGCATTAGACTTACTCTTCAGTATTCTCTCCAAGTTGCCTTCAAAGTCCAAAGCCCACTGATTCAACGAGCAAGTCGCTACAGTCACCTTCCGGCCCATGTTGTTGTTTCCAGATAAAAACAGGAAGCAGGTCGCGTTAACAGAGCAGCAGTACAGTGCCGACCATTGGGATATAACGTTAAGAGAGTTCAGGTCCAACTACATCCTCTATCCTGGCTGTCATTAACAGTGTGTGTGCCTCGGCTGGTGTGTTCTTCTGAAGGTCAGATAGGGTTGACTAATACATTAGCCCCGCCCTCCTCATCATCTTCTTCCCATTCTTTAATGCAGGGAGTTGAGCACACTGCCCTCCACAGGATAATGGAGAAATGACTTCAGTCTCCTTTGTGTTTATTGGCGGACCAGCTGTGTCAGAGTACATTAGATCATCTGTATACTGATTATTCTACAGAAAAACAATAAACAAATTAAAAAATGTACTAATCCTGCCTGTATTACAGAACCTACCAAGCACCTGAAGTCCTGTCCTGTGCTGAGTAGCGATTTTCAACTCCATTTCTGCTCTGTCACATGAACTATATTTCTTAATTAAATTATATGTACTACCTACTTGCTGCTCAGCATGCTAAATACTAAACATCTACACATCTTAGAGTGTTACAAAACTGTAGTGGGTAATAAAAGAAAAAGGTTTTTGTCATATTTGCTGAACCTTTCACTATACTCTGACAGCAGCACATGAGACAGATAATCTGGTTCTTCTGTCTCCTCCCAGTGCTCCTGATGGCATTTGCGAGAATCCACTGAACCCTACAGACAACAGCCAATCAGAGCTGAGAAACATAGAAATACACTTTGGTTTGGTGGCTTGAAGATAGCTGATTGTTGAGTCTTTCTCAGCATCAGTCAAAAAAAAAAAAAAAGTCATTTTTATAAAGGTTACTTACAGCAGATTTAATTTAAATACTACATCTAAAAAGTTAAAATTACCATACCAGCATCATTAGCATCATTAGATCGTCTTTGGGCGTTTGCCTTTACTTTAGACAACAAACCTCTGAGAGCTGCTGCTGAATCTGAGCAAAACCTTTTTTAATGGCTGTACTTTCTCCATCCAATAAAGATCATGGCGAAAACAAAATGATGGTAATGAGTTCTGCTGAAAATATTTACAATTTGTCGATCAGTCTGTGATATATTAACTCCAAAGTCTGGGATATATATATATATATATATATATGAATTTGCACGGCAGGATTTAGGATCTGTAAATACACACACACCATGTGAACATAAACTTCATCTTTCAACCTTCTGGCTAATATTTGACGTTTAGTTTTCAAAATAGAAAAGGCAAAGCATTAAGCGGAGAGCTGTTGAGTGAGTAACAGACTTTATTTTTCTACAAAACATGCACTTGAAGTAGACGGTGTAAATGGGTGAAAATGTTTTGTCATCAGTTACAAAGCTAAGGGGGGTAATAGCCATCGGTGAGAGCTGACACTGTTAAATTGTGATAACACTACAATCACAAACACACACTACAACCGTCTGGTGTTTTCAAAACCATGCTGGAGGAAAATTGTCTGCGCTGTAATTTCCCAGTCATTTCTGTCAATCATCTCTTCCATTTAGCACTTTGTTGTGTCACTTATATGCCCAGAGAGGTGTTTTATAAAGCAACATTGCCAGTAAAGCTAGTCTTACCTCACCTTGTTTCCAGGAAATTCTGTCTCATAAAAGAGGTTTGGTCAGCCCACCCCTTTGGTCCTGTTTCAGACAGGTAAAACATTTCTTTATTGATTGCCATGAAATCTGACTAGACATTAAAGGTCCCCTAGTGAATCCTAACTTTGGTGGTCAACAGTGTCACCCACAGGTCAAATTTTCCCTTATTCAGTGAAACAGCTCTAAATCTATGGATGCTTTGGCACAAAATGTGGTACCAACAGTCGTGTTCAGTTCAGATGATGTATCCTACTAACTTTAGTAATTCTCTCTAGGGCCACGAGCAGTGGAGACATCTTCATGTTGTTAGAACTTCCGGGATCTGTTCCATCTACACCATCATCATTTCCTTTTTGTCTGATACTGCAAAATGAATGACACTCCCATCAGCTGCAGCTATGCTTCGTGTTTAGTGCTAATTAGCAAATGTTAGCATGTTAACATGCTAAACCAACACAGTAAAAATTAGGATAACAATTTGAATGGAGATTTCAAGTAGAATGGAAGTAAAATATATTTAATAAAGTTATAATAATAAATGAAGTAATTTGACCCCTCAAAATGTCTTAATTAAAATGAAGTTGGTTCAACTAATTAAACTTGTAGGGGACAAAGCAAATCATGTTGGTTACTAAACTTATTTACTAAATAATAATAATAATAAATACCTTTATTTGTATAGCACTTATTTAAACAAGGTTACAAAGTGCTTGGCTGAGTTGGATTTCCTGAAAAAAATACATGCAAATCGTTACCCTAAATATTTTGTTGAGCCAGTGTATTCTTTTTAGAGCGTTAAACTTAACAGTCATTATTACATAAATTAAAGGTAATATGTTTGGCCTGCAGCTGTAGCCTTAGTTAAAGGAAAACTTTCTCTCATATAGATTAAAGAAATGAAAGAGATACCCAGATACACCACTATCACAAAAACAATGGACAACAAAGACAGACAACCAGTCTCAAGGTATTTTAACAGTATCATACAAAGGCTATTATGCAACTTGTACAAACCATAATCATAATTAGACTGAAACTGAAATCTTAGAAATCTTATTTTGGGCCCTGTTTAATAGGTCAAAGTTAAGTGTCATGTTACATCTTATGCATTAATATCCAGCACACGTCTGTTCAACCCACTAAATTATTTGCATTAGTATCCATACTCGGAATGAGCCAGATTTAGTAACATACAGATGGTGCTTAAAATGGAAGTGGGCGGGACTAGCAGGAAGTTAATATTTTAGGCTTCAAATTGATATCGGTTGATCAGGAGTGCTATATTTATTAGAAAACTTGCAGCTGTCTTCATTAAGTTTATAGTTTAAAGTCAAACTCAAACTCTTCTCTTCTAATAATCATTGACTTTTTTTCTTTAGAAAAACTTGAATCTGTAAGATTCGGAAACCCAAAAAAATCTGTGTTTAAAAAACCCTTTCTTTTCACTGCAACTGTTTAATATTTTCACAACAAAAGTTTTTGTTTACCTCAATAAAAGATAGGCCAGCAAACAAACATACAGTGTAATTACAGAACTGCCTTAGAATTGAGCTTCACAGCAATGTTTTAGAAATGTTTCAAATAAAAGTTGCTATATTTATGAGTACAGATATTGACACATTTTGCTTTGATGATACTTGTTCTCGTAAAAACTACATTATCCTACTTGTATAAAGTACAACATGCTGGCAAACGTTCTCCTTCCCTTTGTTTATGGCAGTAGTTAGTTTGTTTTTTGCTTTTTTATTTTCTTCCTAATATTATCTGTTTAAAATGTGCTGCTCTGTTGTCGGGAACATCACAATTTTGTCTTTACATGTGTGTTTTCTTTATTGACATGATCTGTGCTTGATGTTTCAAAGTCATGAACAAGCTGTTCAGACTTGACTTGGTTTAGTCCTGGTTCAGTGTGTTGAGCTCATTCAAGACAGGCTTTTCACAATAAACCCTGCTTGTCTGAGCCTTCTTTATCAAACACCCCTCTGACAGATTCCTCCTGCTACACTTTTTTCACAAAACAAACAGTCAAAAACAGCAACATGGCACAGGCGTGAACAGAGAGAACATGACTGTGATTAATCAGAGACCGCTGTGAGAGGGGACGGTGCAGAAGTCAGGATGCTGAATGTGTTCTGGTTGTTCACTCAGGTGCAGATTTATGTGTGAAGAGCCACGCTGACAAAGTGTGGACCGGCTATCATCTTCTTGTTTAACATTACAAGGTACAAAAACATGGTGTCTGCATTTTAAATGAACACGTTTCAATAATCCCTCATGTCACACTCTCTCTCTCTCTTGCACACACACACACACACACACACACACACACACACACACACACACACACACACATACACATTTCATGTGAAATAAATAACAATATGTACAAGACTCTCTCAAGAGGGCAGAGAAAACTCAAGTTATGCATTATGTTAGTACACAAAACACATCTACACGCAGTACACAATGTACATAATGTAAACAATCAACAAAATGCTTAGCCCTGTCATGTTAAAATGACCTTAAAATCATAAATATGAAATGTAAATCGTACAAGGATTCCAGCATTAATCAAGCTTAATCAGATCTAGACACAATCCAGATACGAGTCGTTGTATGATTGTGTAAAGGTGGTCGTGTGTTCCCAGACGTCACATTGCTGTGGTGAAATCTCCACTATCACATTAACAGTCTTAAACCATGACAGAAGCAGCAATCAAAGGGGGAGAAAAAAACATGATCCACCCTTTTCTTGTTCTGGTAGCCTGTCCTTGCTGGCATGCTGATCATCTTCCTCCAACCACTAAATGACCAATGAACTCAAAAGTTCTTTGTCAGACATGTAATAGAAGGCAAAGGCAATAAGTAGCAAAGTGTAGCCATCTTAACGAAAGAGTCTTCTTTTCTGTCTTTGACAGCCTCCTTAAATGGTCAAACATGGACAATCCCAGGGTGAGTGGAGGGAAGCAGGGTAGGTAATAAGGAAGTTTAAGGTTACAATGATAAGACTGTAAATAAATTACCCTAAGAATAATTCATGCTGGAGTGCCACATGACAAAAAGTAGGCAGATATTTTTCACCCATACAAGACCTGGTTCAGTGTCCTCCCCTCATTATGATACACTTCAGACAAAAAGGTGATAATATGAGTTGATCAATAATCATGGGAAGACCTTCAAAGATGCTGGAAATGCTACATCCACTTGTTAATAAGGACATTTTTGAAAGATAATTCTAATTTCGTACAACTTGGGTCATATTGTCAAACTTTCGGGAACATGTAACATAGTGAGTCAAAGGTACTCAAATACCAGCGCCTTGGATTGCCAAAGCATCGGTATTTGACTCCCTGGAAGCACAAACGTTATCTATAGTGTTTTGTGGCTTGCTCCGAGGCACTTTCTTTGTTTCCCATTTACCATAACATAGCATCAGTGTTTGACAGCCTGGGAATGAGACTCGCCGAACAACTTTAAATCAATCTCTCTCCTTACAAGACACCCAAAGTGGGGTGACTCCTGGAAGTGATGTTCTCTGTCCTATTTCCAGGTGATGCACAAAAAACCCCTCTATCCTTAAAGTTGCCCCAAAAAAACTTTATTTAACCATGATGTGTCTGTAGCCCAATGGGACATTTCCATTCTTAATTTTTGACCTGATGTCACATATCATGTAGGTGTGCCATTAGGGCAGAAATGAACCCTAATCTTATGAGAGGAAGACGTTGTCCCAGTTTATTTCGACCTTGGGCCCTCTAGCACGCCAGTGTTTTCCAATGTTTTCCTATTTTTCCCCAGTGTTTTAGGAGAGTTTCTGATTTCAGAATTTAAGGTTTTGTCACTCTAGTAAGAAATAGACTATTAGGGACAAATGAATATCTGGCATTCAAGCGGTCAAATGTAAAGACACTGAATATCAGTTATTGGCAGGTTCAGTCCAAAATGTATCATCAGTATGGGCTTTAAAAAATCCATATATGTTGACCTCTACATTGTAAGCCCCTCTTTCACTTCTAACCCTTCAATAACCTAAGAAAATAACAGGGTTGTGCAAATATAGCTCAATAGAAGCATGTGGTTACTTGGAGGTGTACAAAGATTCATCCCAGAGACAGTCTGAAGCTCTAAGGGTGAATATCCATTTTAGTACAGGAGCCAGTCCATAAAAAAGAATGTGATCACAGTTTCATTCCACAGTTCAGAGCGGTTCAGAACCTCAGCACACCAAACAGATCCAGTAACTGCAAAGTCACATCAGTTATCAGCAAAATCGAAGGCATTGATCCGAATGCGGACATACAGTTAAATTATCGAGTGTTCTTAATATAAGTGTGTCAGCTGGCACTGGTACACTAGGAACCTTCCACATAGGTGTCAGTGTATTTTTGAATAATTAATGATAGCACAGTCCATGTGGTGCTATTAAGGCACCATGCAGTCCTGGTCCACACTCTAGTTGAACACACTGGGCCTTATTGACGTTAATACCATGGCAGACATTTGGAACTTGTCACTCTTTGGGTAAGAAACTTAAGCTAGAACATCAGAACCAGCCTACTAATGCTTACATGCCATATATAAAAACCTAGAGCAAAATTTGGCATTTCACAGATTCCTCACTAAAACACTACCAAATATTGCCAGGTAGCTTTGTAACAATATAGTTTTGTCTGCAAAGGCCTTAGTATGCTTCAAATGAACTAGGTTCTACGTCAACAGACACATAACAAAAGCATTTATAACTGTTCAGAACAGCCGCATTTAAAGGTGGGGTGAAAAGCCTGCCTTGAGGTCTTGAATTGTGCCAAATGTGATATTGATACATATTTTTTACTATGCACAGTTTCTCCTCAAAGGCATTCATGGTTCACATCTGAAAACTGACAAAAATTCAACATGTGGAAAGTAAAGTTTCCATGAATTAATGAATAACGTATGAATATTTACTTTAAACTCAGCATTTATGTTAAAGCCCCTACAAGGAACTTTCATTTTGTGTTGATTCTGGCAGCCCCTGTGGAAAAATGTGGAAGTGTTTCTACCGCCTCATTTAACTGATTTCAAGGGGAATCTGACCTGGTGGCAGGCATTAAGAATAACTAAATTTAAAATTAGCCAATTTTGTTACTGATGGTCTTGTTTGTTTATGTAGATCATATACAGGCATTGAACTGAGACTGTTTAATAACCAGGTAAAAGCGCCAGTTAAAAACTAATCATGACCAAATTACATTCTCTTAGTTCTCTCCATGAAACTATGAGGTGTAGAATACTGTAAAAATGATCAGTATATATATTATTGTGTATATATATATATATATATATATATATATATATACACAGTGGTATGCAAAGGTATTTGCCCCCTTCCTGATTTCTTATTTCTTTGCATATTTGTCAAACTTAAATGTTTCAGATCATCAAACACGTTTTCATATTAGACAAAGATAAATATAAAATGCAGTTTTTAAATGATGATTTCTTTTAAGAATTTTGTTAAGAAATCACTTAAATAGAACCTGCCTGACAAAGTAAAGTAGGCTAAAAGATTTTAAAAAGAAACACATCATGCTGCGATGTAAAGAAAATCTATAACAGATGAGAAACAAAATTATTGACATCTATCAGTCTGGAAAGGGTTACAAAGCCATTTCCAAGGCTTTGGGACTCCAGCGAACCACGGTGAGAGCCATTATCCACAAATGGAGAAAACTTGGAACAGTAGTGAACCTTCCCAGGAGTGGCCGGCCTACCAAAATTACTCCAAGAGTCCATTGACGACTGATCCAGGAGGTCACAAAAGAACCCAGAACAACATCGAAAGAACTGCAGGCCTCACTTGCCTCAGTTAAGGTCAGTGTTCATGATTCAATAATAAGAAAGAGACTGGGCAAAAATGGCATCCATGGGAGAGTTCCTAGGCGAGACGACTGCTGACCAAAAAGAACACTAAGGCTAGTCTCACATTTGCCAAAAAACATCTTGATGATTGAAGACTTTTGGGGAAATATTCTGTGGACTGATGAGACAAAAGTTAAACTTTTTGGAAGCTATTACATCTGGCGTAAAACTAATGTAAATACCAACAGTCAAACATGGTAGTGGTAATGTGATGGTCTGGGGCTGCTTTGCTGCTTCAGACCTGGACGACTTGCCGTAATTGAGGGAACCATGAATTCTGCTCTCCTGAAGGAGAATGTCCAATCATCAGTTTGTGACCTCAAGCTCAAGCGCACTTGGGTTATGCAGCAGGACAATGATCCGAAACACACCAGCAAGTCCACCTCTGAATGGCTTAAAAAAGACAAAATGAAGGTTTTCGGGTGGCCTAGTCAAAGTCCGGACTTAAATCCGATTGAGATGCTGTGGCATGACCTTAAACAGGCCATTCATGCTCGAAAACCCTCCAATGTGGCTGAATTAAAACAATTCTGCAAAGAAGAGTGGGCAAAATCCCTCCACAGCGATGTGAAAGACTCATTGCTAGTTATCGAAAATGCTTGATTGCAGTTATTGCTGCAGAGGGTGGCACAACAAGTTATTAGGTTTAGGGGGCAATTACTTTTTCACATAGGGCCAAATAGGTTTGGATAGTTTTTTTCCCTTAATAAATGAAATCATCATTTTACAACTGCATTTTGTATTTATCCGGGTTATCCTTGTCTAATATTAAATTTGTTTAATCTGAAACATTAAAGTTTGACAAATATGCAAATAAATAAGAAACCATGAAGGGGGCAAATATTTTTGCAGCACTGTATATGGATGATAAGGTAGCAAATACCTATTGATATCGTTGCTGTCAGACAGAAACCTCATATTTCCATATTTCATAAATCAATGCCATTGGTCACCCTTTACTGTTTGTGGGTTTTACATATATTTAACCAATGGAAAGTATTGAAACCAACAACAATACAAACTTTTGACAAAACAAAAAAAATGTAATTTCCTGAAAAGTAATGGTTTTGGATATTCAAGGTTTCTGCCTTACACTGATATCTATTCAGCCAGCAGTGACAAATTGAGTTGTGGTGTGAGGAGAACCAGTGCAAAGTAACATGCTACCAGCTGTATCTACAGAGATTTATTATTTTAGTCATTATTTCAATAAAAACCTGTAGTAACAATTCTGTTTAAAACTCCTGGCAAACTGCTCTTTATGGTTTTTCACCCCACCCTCCAGAGTGGCACAGGTAGAACCACTTATGCCTTTAGACCTGGTTGGACAACATAATACAAACTAGCTGGTTTAAAGCATACTGAGAGCCTTTAGTCCTTACTTCAATCAGTGGGCAATGCCATTCTGCCAGGCAGAGGTTCTCGGCCTCAGTGCGGAAAAACGCCAAATATCCCAAATTTATTGTGGAATTGTGGGAGCTGCAGTCATGTAAGGAAGCCCAACCTCCTTGCAGTCTTCTGTGGAATGTCACTTCCTGCTTTCTGCATTCAGGATGGTCAGTCGGCCAGTGTTAGTCCCACCTAAAACATTTTCCATGAGGTGTAACGTTGGGCTGTAAAACTCATACAAGGAGGGAGAGTGTTTGTTTCTCTCAGTGAATTGTGTGTGCCTGCATGCATTGTAGGTATGTGTGTTTGTGTCTGCATCTTATTCAGCGTCCATGTCTTCTTCTGTGTGTGTGTCACTGTCCAGGGTATGTGGGGTAGTGTGTCGGGGAGTGTGTGTGTATGTGCGGCTGGGACTGTGCATGTGTATTTGCCAGCGGCAGCGTGGAGTGGCGGTCAGGAGGCAGGCGGGTGGACATCAGGTCGTCTTCTGCAGCATCACCTACAGCCAGAGCAGAGACACAGCTGTTACTGTAGCCTAGACCAGAGACAGCATGTTAATCAGTGAGCTTTAGATTTGCTGGTAGGCATGTTTTTTCACTCTGGACAGAGCCAGGCTAGCTGATTCTGTCTGTCACCAGTCTTTATGCTAAGCTAGGCTATCCATGAGACTCCAATTTTGTACTCAACACTCAGACATGAGATTGATATTGCTCACTCTCAGAGAGGAAGCATGAACTATCATTCTATCACTGAATATGCAGTATTAAGGTTTGGCATTATTTCATTTTATTTTATTTTTTAATGATGTTAGTGGTATTTAATCAAATTAAACCAAAGACCAATTTCAATTTCAAGTTGTAAAAATAATTTCAATACAGACTCTGTTCAATCTTGACAAGACCAAAAAAGTATATTTAAAGGTAAAGGTGTAGGATTTAGTGGCATCTAGTGGTAAGATTGCAGATTGCAACCAACTAAAAGCCTTCGAGCATGTAAGAGAAAATATGGTGCCTGCGAAAAGCAAAAGACCCTGTCTATTCTAGAACCAGTGTTTGGTTTGTCTGTTCTGTAGAAACAGCGACCCACAGTGTCTGTAGATATAAAAGGCTTATTCTAAGCTAAAATAAAAACACGATTCTTAACGAAAACATGCTCCTAAATGTTACAAAACTCAAATCACATTAATCTACACTGATTTTGGTGCATATAACATGGTAAATGGACCTGTACTTGTATAGCGCCTTTCTAGTCTTCCGACCACTCAAAGCACTTTTACACTACGTGCCACATTCACCCTTTCACACACATTCACTCAGCGATTGCAAAGTCCATCGAAAAGAAACTAACGCATTCATACAAATTCACACACCGATGCACGGCATCGGCAGCAATTTATAGTTCAGTATCTTGCTCAAGGATACTTCGACATGTGGCGGCAGGAACCGGGGATTCAATTAAATTAAATTAAATTCAATTTTATTTGTATAGTCCCAATTGATAAGAGAAGTTATCTCAGGACACTTTTCAAATAGAGCAGGTCTAGACCGAAACTCCTTATAACATTATTTACAGAGACCCAACAGTTCCACCATGAGCAAGCACTTGGCGACGGGGGCAAGGAAAAACTGCCTGTTAAGAGGCAGAAACCTAGGACAGATCCTTCGGCTCTAGGTGGGTGGTCGTCTGCCTCGACCAGTTGGGGTGAGAGAGAGAGACAGACAGACAGACAGGTGCACAGCAACAACAGTAGCAACAACTGCACTAATAGTAGTGACTGATGATGATGAACATGACAACAGCAACGATGGGGGACAATGAGCAAAGAGAGAGAGAGAGAGAGAGACAGAGACAGACAGACAGGTGCACAGCAACAACAGTAGCAACAACTACACTAATAATAAATGGTAAATGGACCTGTACTTGTATAGCGCCTTTCTAGTCTTCCGACCACTCAAAGCGCTTTTACACTACGTGCCACATTCACCCTTTCACACAGTGATGGCAAAGTCCATCGAACAGAAACTCATTCATACACATTGACAGCATCGGGAGCAATTTGGGGTTCAGTATCTTGCTCAAGGATACTTCGACATGCGGCGACCAGGAGCCGGGGATCGAACCCACAACCTTCCGATTAAGGAACGACCCGCTCTGCCTCTGAGCCACAGCCGCCCAGTAGTGTCTGATGATGATGAACATGAAGAAGATGATGAAGACAACAACAGCAACGGTGGGGGACAACAAGCAGCGACAACAGCAGTAACAGTAACCGTAGCAATAATAATACTTAATAATATAATAATAAATAATAATAATATCAGTAATATTAGCAATGGCAGTCAAGCAGGACCATGGTAGGAGGCTCCACCAGGATCCATGAGAACCTGCAAGACGAGAAAGCACAAGAACTCCGGGGAAGAAGAGAAGTTAGTAACATGCATTAATGGGACATGAATGAGTGCAGAAAGAGAGAGAGAGGAAGAGAGGAGCTCAGTGCACCATGGGAAATCCCCCGATAGTCTAGGCCTATAGCAGCAACCATCGAACCAACAACCTTCCAATTAGTGGATGACCCACTGCTCCTCTGAGCCACAGCCGCCCCTTTCATCTAACATCTATTCCAGATATATTTGTGTGAGCAGGTTTGTTTGGAGCCAGGAAATTAGTTACAGACACAATAAAATGGATGAGACTAATAAGGCGCTATACAAGTACAGTTCCATTTACCATTTACCAAATAAAATGTGGTTGCAAAATATGTCTAAAGGCTGATGTGTGGCCTACCGCTGCCAGGATCCATGCCGGTCTGGTTTCCAGTAATGTGGTGCCAGTAAGCAGATCGGGGCAGGATGGCAGTGGGGGTGCAAGGGTAGGAGCCAGGTTCTGAACCCATAGACATCAACTGGGAATCACATACACACAACATTACAAATATTAAAAAGAGAGCAAGAAAGTACACAATTACCACTATCTTCAAATATTTTTGTGAATATTTGTGAATACTGTTAAGCACTAATTGGCCATTGCCCACCCATATCATCCCTTACCTCCACTGATATCAGGACAGTGCTACTGCGGAACTAAGACTAAGACATTTCTTTATTTAGAGATAGTTTTTACCCAGGAACTAAATGGTGTTCTTTTACACTTTTAGTAACTATTTTAGAACCTTTGCTGTATTTGTAAGTATTTTTTGTTAAAAGCAGAAGCGTTTCACTGCATTGGAATGTCATCCTTCTAATAATGACTGGATTAACTTGTTTGGGGCGTTGGGCAAAAAAATGCTGTTGGGTCCCTGTTGACCCCGCTAACAGTTTAAAGCTAATTGATTTCTTTTTGACCACTTGGGGGCAGCAGAACAAGCTGTAAACACAACACTGGCATATTATCAGCTCATAAATTTGATATTGAACATAACAGGATAAATCTTTATTGCCCACTGGGGTGGAAATTTGTCTTCACCTAAGCAGAACAAGATACAGCATTATAAAAACAGGTCCAGTATGCAACTTGTACAGTGTGATGTAAAAACTTGAAGCCACCAGTGCACATCCACTGAGAATGGACTTTACAGTGAAGTAGGAGACATATTGTGTCCAGCAGGAAAACTTTAGAATGGTCAGTGGTGGAAATTCCTGTGGGGCTCCAGGGGGCCTGCATTGTCTGCAGCACTGGACAATGAATGAAACCTAACCTTGAGTGTGTGTCTGTGTATGTGTGTGTGTGTGTGTGTGTGTGTGTGTGTGTGTGTGTGTGTGTGTGTTTGAATGTTGCTCTCACCCTGCTGTTTTTCTCCATCTCCAGCAGGACCTTCTTGTGCTGCTCTGCTATGGCCAGCGTTGAGGAATGAACCCTTTGGTAGATCTGCTCTCCCTCTCTGGTCTGGAAGGTGTACAGGCCTTCACCGCTGTCACACATCCTACAACAACAGTAACTCAGTAACAGCAGCAAAACAGCAGTGGATGACATACTGGGCAATCCAATAATGGAGGAAACCCTCAGTGAGCTCCTACTCCTACTACACCGCAGTAATAGACAAAAGAATTACATCAGTGTGGGATTTCAGGGTGTTATTCAGTGTCCTTTGATCTAAATGCTGTTTCATTCTGACAAGAATGTACGTTAATGGAAACACAGAAGCATTTGTAGTAGTAGAAATGGCACTTGTCCACTTGACTGTAGATCATTCGGTCCAGACCAAACAAAAACATTATAAATTGTTCTGGTGTGATTCATGGTTTACCAAGAGCTGTAACCATGAAGTCTAATGGTCTGACATGTAACTGATTCATTGGACAATTTGGGACATCTGGGAAGTTGTGTTGGAAACTGTTTGGAAATGGGCAGGCACTTTCAAAAATACTTGGTATACAATAGAATTTAATTTGTCCATTCGGGTCCATGCAGTGCTGATGATGATCACCAAAACTATCCAATGAACATCTTACCTGTCGGTCCATATGATTTAATGCCTCCAACTCTTTGTTTATTAAAACAAAAAATAATAAAAAGTCAGTCAACACAAAACAAACCAGAACTTAAAGGTTGTCATAACCCAATTCATCCGACTCTTTTGAACACAGACATATCAGTCTAACCGCTCGACCGATTACGCCATCTCCGCTGCCCTCCACTCAGGCCTCACCCACCTGGAGACTAAAGACTCCTACGTCAGAATGCTGTTCATCGACTTCAGCTCAGCATTCAACACAATCATCCCCCAGCAGCTCATCCACAAACTGGACCAGCTGGGGCTCAACACCTCCCTGTGCAACTGGCTGTTGGACTTCCTGATGGGGAGACAACAGGCAGTTCGGGTTGGCAGCAACACCTCCAGCACCATCACACTGAACACAGGGACCCCCCAAGGATGTGTGCTGAGCCCCCTCCTCTTCACTCTGCTGACCCACGACTGCCCACCATCATTCAGCTCCAACCTCTTCATTAAGTTTGCGGACGACACAGCTGTGGTGGGTCCCATCAACAACGGCGATGAGACAAACTACAGGAGTGAGGTGAGCAGGCTGGCCACGTGGTGCAAGGACAACAATCTCCACCTGAATGTGGGGAAGACGAAGGAGATTGTTGTGGACTTCAGGAGAGTGCACACCCAGCATACTCCACTAACCACCGACGGTGCTGCAGTGGAGAGGGTGAGCAGCACCAAGTTCCTGGGTGTGCACATCTTTGAAGACCTGTCCTGGATCCACAACACTGCATCACTGGCCAAGAAAGCCCAACAGCACCTGTACTTTCTCCGCAAACTGAGAAGAGCAGGAGCCCCGCCCCCCATCATGCACACCTTCTACAGAGGCACCATCGAGAGCATCCTGACAAGCTGCATCACCGTGTGGTACGGCGCCTGCACCGTGTCCTGCCGCAAGACTCTGCAGCGCATAGTGAGAGCAGCTGAAAGGATCATTGGTGTCTCTCCCCCCCCCTTCTGGACATTTATAACACCCGCCTCACCAGCAAGACCATCAGGATTGCAGGTGACCCCACACACCCATCTCACAGCCTCTTCAACCTGCTGCCGTCAGGGAGGAGACTGCGGAGTCTCCGGGCCAAATCCAGCAGGCTCAAGGATAGTTTTTTCCACCAGGCTGTCAGGAGACTCAACTCCCTCCCTGCTCTACCGTCTCTCCCACCTCTGCCCCCCCTCCCCCCTCGGCCCCCTGCCACAGACTAAGACTTTATTTTATGTCTGTTAAATTGTTGATTGTTTATGTTATATCTTGTTGATTGTTTATTTTATGTCATGTCAAATTGTTGATTGTTTATTTTATGTCTTTTCTATTTATAGAAAATGTATTTTTTATTGCCTGTTTGCACCATGGGTCCGAGAGGACTGTTATTTCATCTGTGCTGTATGTTGTGCATATAGCATATTTTGACAATAAAGCTGACTTGACTTGACTTGATAAATGACCGAAAAGAAAAGGTGCACTTCTGCACAGCAAGTTCAATAGTTGGATGGAGGTACTACATATGGTCCTTCTAGTTCTGAGGAGCAGAGGATGGACACCACTACACCTGTCACCACTACAGCACCAGCATCAGTGTACAGGAACCAAATAAAGGATCTGCCAGGTACCAGGTTTGTGCTGGTGATAGTGAGTGTGCTGTTCAAATAGAGAAAGGTGAAAATTATCAAACTGGGATCAATATAAATTAAGATCAATAAAAACCACTAATCCTATTTCTTTCCTTCCAAAAACTTCAATAATTTCATAAAAATGCAATACAGTCCACCACACCCAAAAGAAAACAACAAATCAGAGTCGAGAAAGGGAGAATGAAACTTTGGGTTGGTGGCTTTAAGACTTTAAGAGTTTATTGTTAAGTGTCATTCCCACCCTCAGTACTTGACGCCCTGGGAATGAGAATCAACAATCAACTACCTTTCTTTGTTCTGACTGGTTGTTGTCCTTCAGTTCTACAAATACCATTAGGACCACTAAGAGGAAGCAGAGCAACCTGATTGTTTCACAGATTATCTGTCTCATGTTCTACTGTCAGGATATAGTGAAAGTTTCAGCAGATATGACAAAAAGTTAATTTTAGAAAACTTACTGCAGCTATAGTAAGTTAACTCATTTAAAATGCTCTGTTTCTATTTTAGTTTTAGTTAATGCACATTATTGTGTCCATGTTGTGAGGCTAGTAATAAATATTCAGTAAAATTGTCAGTAAACTAGCTGCGCATCAATACATTACAAATGAGACAGAGTGATGCAGTACAACACATCCACAGACAGAGGGCTCTCTTGCTGTTTTGGTTTGTTTCAGACCTCTCTCTCTCTCTCACACACACACACACACACACACACACACACACACACACACACACACACACACACACACACACACACACACCATTATCTGCATGCTGACCCAATCATTGCTCGCCTGGTTTTATCAAAAAGGAGGAGATAAGGAGGTCTTGCCCAGCATTGATTCATTGTCTAATCTATTCAATCAATCTCTTCATGGGACACACAACCACGCTGTTTGTGTGTGTGTGTTTGTGTGTGTGTGTGTGTGTGTGTGTGTGTGTGTGTGTGTGTGTGTGTGTGTGTGTGTGTGTGTGTGTGTGTGTGAAAGAGAGAGAGAGACAGGGGTATCCTTGGACTGACTAAGATGACTGACAAGAACACACACATACCTATAAAGGTCACACACTGCTATAACAAAGGATGTGTTGTCTCTTACTTGACTTTAACTCATGACTTGTGTGTGTGTGGCAACCTATGATGGGTGTAGCCTGTATTTATCTACGATCAAACACTTCTCCCAGCCACCCCTCTCCTGGTCTCACCGTCCGGCCTCGAAGGTGAAGCGGGTGGCGTCACGTCCGTAGCGCCGCAGGGAGCAGAGCGGCCAGGTGACCAGCTTGGTGCGAGGGTTGTGGATGTCCCACAGGTAAATGTTCTCATGGGTGATCTGCATCATGCACTCCCCGTAGATGTCCAAGTTGGGACAGGGGAGGAGGAACACGTTGAAACGCTCTGAGGAATGACAGGAACAATGTCAAGAACTTGTTCTCAGTGTAGTTTGAGCTGCTTCTGAAATGTCACAAGAGACAAAAGTTAAGTTGTAGGTTGGTGCTGTTTCTTTGCTCACTGTCATTTATTATTAAGGTCTTCTGAAAGGTCCAGTGTGTAACATTTAGGAGGATCTATTGTCAGTATTTTGTCGTTTTTATCTTGTCTTTCCATGGAGGCCGCCATGAAACTGCCATGTTTCTACAGCAGCCCCCAACCCAAAACTGGGTCTAGATAAGTTAGTTTTTCTTGCATTTCATCTGCAATCTGCAACTACACCACCATGGACACTGGAGGTCAGTCAGAGTTGGGGGTGCCAAGAGAAAGTCAGTCTATATAATGATGTCATACTAAATGCTACATGCATGCCATTCAGGGTTTTTGCATTAATTTGAATGGCCAGGATTATTTGTAGCCTACAGTTATTAACAACATTTTACACAAATTCTAGAAATGAAGCACAGCGTTAGTTAATGCAGATGGCTCAGCTGATTCCTACTATGATTCCTATTGGAAAATGTCTCCTTTATATCCAGGCTTCTGGACCTCTCAAAATCTGTAGAGAAACTCCATGATATGGTTAGCTTGGATGAGGGCTGCAGATCCGAGCTCCAATTCTGGTCTTTTCTGTGTGATAAATGAAATGGCATCTCCTTTTTTTACAATCAGCAGCTAGAATTATCATTTGCCATTGAATTATACACAGACGCAGCCCTTCCATTGGTTTTGGGGGGTATTTTAATAATCAACGGTTTGCAGACATATGGCCAAAAGAACTGAAAAAGAACTATTAGTGTAGTTGTTGCTACTGTTGTTGCTGTGCACCTGTCTGTCTGTGTATCTGTCTGTCTCTCTGTCTCTGCTCTCTCTCTCTCTCTCTCTCTCTCTCTCTCTCTCACCCCAACTGGTCGAGACAGACGACCACCCACCTAGAGCCGAAGGATCTGTCCTAGGTTTCTGCCTTTTAACAGGCAGTTTTTCCTTGCCCTTGTTGGTGGTACTGTTGGGTCTCTGTAAATAATGTCATAAGGAGTTCGGTCTACACCTGCTCTATTTGGAAAGTGTCCTGAGATAACTTCTGTTATGAATTGGAGCTATACAAATAAAATTGAAAATTGAAATTGAAATTGAACTGTCGTCCTTGCCAGCAAATGCCTCTTCTACTGATTAATGGAAATTTACCCAATTGTTGTCAACATTATTAACAAAGGGCGTTCTTCATTAATAGATTTGTAAGGCGCCTCACTTGGTTATCTGTGTTGGGTAATTTCATTATTAGAGCAGCTCATATTCCAGGCTTGGATAACACAATTGCAGACTCTTTTTCCTGGTTTGAATTGAAAAAAATTTTGCAAACTGTGCCAGGAGGCAGCGCCATCCAGCCTGACTTGTCCCGCATTCTCTCAAACCGTGTTAGATTAAACACAGCCTTGCATTCCTACATGCTATCTGCTGCTCACTATATGCGATCTGGCTTAGCTAAATCTACATTAAGATGTATGACTCTGCATGGTCTTATTTCACCTCCTTTTGTGCACCTCTGCAGCAGTACTGCCCGTCAATATTTCCATAATAAGCACCTTTAGGGTTCACTGTTTTGAATCCCGTAAAATGCGGCCATCTTCCATAAAAGGTCATGTAGCAGGTATTCAGTTCCATCTGCGCTGTTTGGATCCATCCACTATCAGCCTGCTTCTGAAACCCATCTATCCGTCTTCTGCTAAATGACCTTAAGAAAGAGAAACCTCGAGGCAATGATATTTGTCTTCCTTTCACTCTTTCACTCTCGAAAAAACGAATAACTTACTTAAGGGATGGGTGCTTTGGTCAATACACAGATTTATTATTAGAAACTGTCTTTCTCACTGCTTTTATGGATTTCTCAAAGGTGGCAAATTCACTACACACACAGGATCTTTTGATCCTTCGCATGACCTCACTATTGCTGATGTATCAATTAACCCTCACCACTTCTCTTTATTACTTAAACATTCAAAGACTGTTAGGGATAGAAAAAGATCATCAATCATAATTTCCGAACCAAGTCTTCTATGACTCAATATCTGAAAAGCGGTCCCCGAGCCAGCAAACAGGAGCGGCTCACGTCTTCACCTACTCTGCCAAACCTGCAGGCTTCCTCCAGAATGCTACACTCCTCATTCATTTTGTTTTAAACATTTCTATGAATTAATGGTTCTCATATGCCAGATTTTAGGGGGTGCTGCAACCCCCTCAGCACCCCTGTTTTCAGTGCCCATGTGCACTGCTAGATGCCACTAAATCCTACACACTGGACTTTTAAAGGATGTTCCTGGGTTTTTTCTGTCAAGTTAAACAGACCAGAGCTTCTCAAAAAGGTATTGAGAAAAGAAACACAAGGCAATATAAAATAATAATATAATTACTATATATATATATATATATATATATATATATAATATATTATTGTTAATTATTATCAATTTGGCTTGGGGCCACTGCTGGTATTGACATCTCATAGCAGGGCCACTTCAACGTTCAAGTATTACAAGAAAGCGCAATACTCAACAAAAAATGCATTTTTATATCCTCATTTTATATCATCTTTGTTTGTAGCCACACAACAAATGAAGGTCCGGAACCTGCTCTCTTCTTATCAACTTTTTGCTGACAGTAGAATTGTGTTTTTATTTAAATTGTATATAATGGGATTGTTTAAACTGATATGAAATAACTACAATATATTTATTTTTTCTCTCAGGATGGATTATATATATTTTTTGACATCATGTAGTGAACCAGAGGGAAGGGGGTGGAGTGCTAGAAATGGTAGTTTGAAATCCCTGATTTAGTGTAGAATAATGTTGATGATTTTGTATGTCAATTACCTGTGTGTTCACACTGCACTCCAGCAGCCAGGAGGTCAGGCTCTCCCATGCTGATGTCATTGAGCCGTGTGCCCAGACACTCGATTGACAGTGTCTTAAACCAGTCCTCTGCCTCCAACTCTGAAAAGAGAGAGAGAGGGATCACATTTACTAGAATCAAGCTCCTTCTTGAAACAAAGAAGTCAAATGGTGAAATGACAGCGAAATACTGGCAGATGTTTTTGACAAAATGTATGATTTGTACACTGAAAACCATTTTGTCTCATGAATCAATGGTGCTGGGTACGAACAGTTATTGGTGCAGAACAGAGGTGCACAGGTCAAGGCAAACAATGTGTGTAGTTCATGGCAGGGGGTTGAACTTCAGCTGTGGTGCAGTAGGAATTCAATGTGGTATAGGGGCGCAGCCACATCAACAACCCACAACCTACAACCTTGCATGTAGAAGTGTTAAGTTAATTCTGGACTTGTTGACATAATAATGTTAATAGTTGTATATTGTAAATAGTTCATGTAAATCAGTTACATTCTAGAAGTATTTCTTGTCATCAAGGTGAGGTTGCCAGATTTGTTTCCATCATAGCTCCACAGAGGCCTCTATTAATACCTCACCAGCTGTGTCTGGCAACTTGCACTGTTGCTGGAGATGCTACACAGAAGTGCTGAATAAATGGATAAACCGATGTTCATCAACAAATACTTCTAGTATGTAACCTCCCCAAATATCACATTGTAAATCTTCCAACTTCCAATTATGGACACGTAATAGCATTATATTAATGGTGTGTTTCCCTCTTTTCAATAACTTAAATAAAATAAACTCAAACTCCTTCAAACCCAATTCTTCAATTTCTACAAATTCGCAATATTAGATACATTAGATCTAATACACTCTGTACCTGTAATACACTCATCATTGGCTACGGTAAGCTACTGACTCATTTCCGGTTCACTTCCTGCTCTGTGTACACTGTTTGGTGCTGTAGCTCTGTCAGTGAACGCTAAATCTAAATTAGTTTTACTCGTTACAGCGGTTATTTTCCAGCTTAACGATTAAACGTAGACTCGTTCTATCTAAACACTCGGAGTTACTCCTTCTTTTAGTGACTTTTCGCTAGTTTCATTAACATTAGCAGTTAGCTATGGCTTCTCCCTCTCCCTCTCCTCTGTCCTGCTCAGTGTGTCAGATGTTTAGTTATTCCTCTGCCTCCTTTAAAGATAATGGTACATGTATTAAGTGTAGCTCTTCCATTAGTACAGTCACCCACCCAAAACCCCATAGAGACTGTGTCTGTCCCCCGACCACCTAAATTATTTAAAGAAATAAAAACAAGAGGAGTTCAACATAAAAATCTAATAAAAATTCAAACTAACTCCTCAGTAGCACAAAATAAGAGAATGAAATGTGGGCTGTTAAATATCAGGTCTCTGTCCTCTAAAGCTGTTTTAGTGAATGAATTAATATCAGATTATGATATTGATTTACTTTGTCTTACTGAGACCTGGTTGTCCCACGAGGAGTATGTTAGCCTAAATGAATCCACCCCCCCAGTCATATTAATACTCACATTCCTCGAGGCACAGGCCGAGGAGGTGGAGTGGCAGCCATATATGATTCGAGCATTTTAATGGACCCTAAATCTAAACTAAATTATAATTCATTTGAAAGCTATCTTCTTAGTCTTTCTCACTCAAACTGAATTCTCAGAGTTTTTATCAAGTTTAGTCCTTAAATCAGATAAAGTAATTATTGTAGGTGATTTTAATATTCATGTGGATGTTGACGATGACAGCCTTAGTAATGCATTTATATTATTAATAGACTCAATTGGCTTCTGTCAGAGTGTAAATAAACCAACTCACTGTTTTAATCACACTCTTGACCTTGTTCTATCATATGGCATTGATATTGAACATTTAATAGTCTTCCCACATAATCCTTTCCTATGTGACCATTATTTAATAACTTTTGAATTCATACTATTAGATTATAAGCCATTAGGCAAAACTTCCTACAGCAGATGTCTATCTGACAGTGCTGTAGCTAAATTTAAGGAGGAGATTCCTTCAGTGTTTAATTCAATGCCATGTCTGAATTTAACAGAGTCCTATAATGACTTTAGTCCCTCTGAAATTGATAATCTTGTCGATAGTGCTACAGGCTCACTACGAAGAACATTAGATTCTATCGCCTATTCTATAGGAAATCTGAAAGGAAATGGCACTCTTCCAAATTATCAATCTCGCTCAATTTGGCAAGATAATCTTAAAACCTATAGAAAGGCCCTCCGTAATGCCAGAGGAGCCTATTACTCAGCACTAATAGAAGAAAATAAGAACAACCCTAGGTTCCTCTTCAGCACTGTAGCCAGGCTGACAGAGAGTCACAGCTCTATTGAGCCACATATCCCCATAAACTTAAGTAGCAACGACTTTATGAGCTTCTTTTATAATAAAATTATTACTATTAGAGAGAAAATTAATCACCAACTGCCATCAACAGTTATCAGTGGTTCTCCAAGTTCAGGAACTTTAACTAATGTAAACTTAGGTATATATTTAGACTCTTTTTCTGCTATCAATCTTCATCAGTTGATTTCAATCATTTCTACATCGAAGCCATCAACCTGTCTGTTGGACCAAATCCCAACTAGGCTGCTTAAAGAAGTCGTACCCTTAATTGGCACTTCTTTACTGGATATGATTAATCTTTCTTTATTATCAGGATATGTACCACAGTCCTTTTAAAGTAGCTGTAATTAAACCCCTTCTTAAAAAGCCTACTCTTGACCCAGGGGTTTTAGCCAACTATAGACTGATCTCTAACCTCCCCTTCCTCTCTAAGATTCTGGAGAAAGTAGTCGCCAAAGAGTTGTGTGACTTTCTACATAACAATAGTTTATTTGAGGATTTTCAGTCAGGATTTAGAGTTCATCACAGCACAGAGACAGCACTGGTTGAAGTTAATAATGACCTTTTGATTGCTTCAGACAATGGACTTGTCTCTGTACTTGTATTATAAGATCTTAGTGCTGCATTTGACACCATTGACCATAATATTCTTTTACAGAGACTTGAGCATCAAATTGGCATTAAAGGAACCGCACTAAGCTGGTTTAAGTCATATTCATCAGATTGTTTGCAGTTTGTACATGTTAACGATGAATCTTCAATAAACACTACAGTTAGTCATGGAGTTCCACAAGGTTCTGTACTTGGACCAATACTATTTACTTTATATATGCTCCCTTTAGGCAACATTATTAGGAATCACTCCATTAACTTTCACTGTTATGCAGATGATACGCAGTTATATCTATCAATCAAGCCCAATGAAATTAATCAATTATCTAAATTATATAATAAAATCCTGGATGAGCTGCAATTTTCTGATGTTAAACTCAGAAAAAAATGAAATTCTTGTACTTGGCCCCAAAAAACTTAGAGACTCACTGTCTAAAGATATAGTTACTCTAGATGGCATTACCTTGGCCTCTAGCACCACTGTCAGGAATCTTGGAGTTATCTTTGATCAGGATTTGTCATTTAACTCCCACATGAAGCAGACCTCTAGGAATGCCTTCTCTCATTTACATAATATTACAAAAATTAGACCCATACTATCACAGACAGATGCAGAAAAACTAATCCATGCATTTGTTTCTTCTAGGCTGGATAACTGCAACGTTTTATTATCAGGTTGCTCCAATAAGTCCATTAAAACGCTCCAATTAATTCAGAACGCTTCAGGAACTAGAAAAAGAGATCACATCTCTCCTGTACTAGCTTCTCTGCACTGGCTCACCTATAAAGCTCTTCATGGTCAAGCCCCTTCATATCTTAAAGAGCTCATAGTACCCCATTAGCCCTCTAGAACACTACATTCTCTGAATGCTGGGCTACTTGTGGTTCCTATAGTCTCTAAAAGTAGAACAGGAGCCAGAGCCTTCAGTTACCAAGCTCCTCTCCTGTGGAACCAGCTTCCAGTTGTGGTTCGGGAGGCAGACACCCTCTCCACATTCAAGAGTAGGCTTAAGATGTTCATCTTTGATAAAGCTTATAGTTAGGGCTGGATCAGGTGAGTCCTGAACCATCCCTTAGTTATGCTGCTATAGGCCTAGACTATCGGGGGATTTCCCATGATGCACTAAGCTCCTCTCTTCCTCTCTCTCTCTTTCTGCACTCATTCATGTCCCATTAATTCATGTTACTAACTTCACTTCTTCCCCGGAGTTCTTGTGCTTTCTCGTCTCGCAGGTTCTTATCGATCCTGGTGGAGCCTCCTGCCATGGTCCTGCTAGATTGCCATTGCCAATACTGTTGTTGCTGTGCACCTGTCTCTCTCTCTCTCTCTCTCTCTCTCTCTCTGTCTTTCTCTCTCTCTCTCTCTCTCTCTCTCTCACCCCAACTGGTCGAGACAGACGACCACCCACCTAGAGCCGGAGGATCTGTCCTAGGTTTCTGCCTTTTAACAGGCAGTTTTTCCTTGCCCTTGTCGCCAAGTGCTTGCTCATGGTGGTACTGTTGGGTCTCTGTAAATAATGTTATAAAGAGTTCGGTCTAGACCTGCCCTATTTGAAAAGTGTCCTGAGATAACTTCTGTTATGAATTGGCGCTATGCAAATAAAATTGAATTGAATTAATACAACCGCACTCAGCATGTATATGTATCAGGCATGGTCTTATACAGTTCAGAGTGTTGCATCGTCTCCACGTTTCAAAGGTCAAGCTTTCTAAAATGTATTCTTAGCTCGCAGATTAATGAACTGGAAACAGGCAAAATCTCCCACTTTTACTATTGTTGATCAAAGATGTTATGCAACAACTTAAACTGGGAAAACCTGTCCTCTTAACTATAATAACTAACTAATTACATGAGATGTCACCCACCACATAATGCAGCGATGTACCTGGCTTAATGCTTACACTGTATATGTGCTGTACAGGTCCTATTGTTTTTTTATGCATTTGTAAATTCTGTACAGTTTTTGTTATATTGTATACCATTTGTATACAGTGCCTACTGCTCCTTTATGCTAAACTAGGCTAAATCCACCAAATGTTTGATGTACTGTAAATCAACCTTTAATGAGCTGAAAATCAAGACACTGTGAGAGGGACTATCATTGGATTTCTGGATCTGGTGTGAACAACGATAACCCGTAAATGCATCAACCTGGGCACTTGTCTTCATTATCCATGTCATACATAGGGTTTGTGTGTAAAAGTGGTATTAATTCCACAATAAAATACCAAACACTAGACTAAAAGACTTAGTAGGACGTGTTTGGTTGTGGTGGAATGCTGAAGGTAAGTTTAGGGTCAATACAGTATGGAGCCCCTAAAGTTGGTTGTACAAATATGGACTTGTATTGTTGAATTTCTCCAAATTATACAATATAATAATTATTAAATATAATATATTCTCATATATTAGCATTATGGTAATTGCGGAGAAACAGCGTATTCACTTCCGGTTTTCAAAATAAAGGTATTAAGAACAGTAAGCTATAATTCGAACCTACATTTAAAATAAAATATGTTACATTAAAGTGTTTCATGGCACCATTATGAATAAAAAACATACTTAATATCAAGCATTTTTACTGCACCAATTTGGAGAAATTAAACAATAAAAGTCCATATTTGTACAACCAACAACCGACATTCGCTAACATTACTTCTCTGTAGCTGAGAGCTTGATTGACAGCCTGGTGGTAGCAACTGCATGAGAGTGGGAATCAACACATGGATCATTTGAATATTAAAATTTGCCATGTGTTGATAGGTCACGAAAATGTAACCAATGAAATTACTTATTTTGACACACATTTTTAGCCAATAAGTATTAAACTAACGAGGTAATGTGTCAAAAGGCGGACCTTTTTTGTTATTTTCTCAAAAGGAGGACAAATGAGTGTCGGCTTAAGGCTGCGCCTGTGTCTCATGAGCACCAGAAATGTTAAATTTTTGGTTTTTTTCCATGTCCCTTTAGGGGCTCCGAAATACAGAGCTGTTAATCTGTGTGTGCGTAATCTGATTTCTACGTCTACTACTTCTTGGGAACACATGTCGGACCAGTTAATTGGCTTGTCAAACTGGGGGCAAAAGCCATGTCCTCAATTTGGAAAAAGTGGATCTTTAGGTAGGCGGTAAGGGTTAGGGTTGGCCAAGCAGTGGTTAGGGATAGGGTTTTGGGTAAGTCTCTAGGAAACCAATGTAAATCTATTTTCCAAAGTGAGTTTATAAGTAAATGTGTGTGTTCATACATTACCTGATTCACAGGTGAAGGTGCGTGAGGTGTCATCTGTAAAGACAATGGCCACCGCCTGCCGCTTGGTATCTCGAGGTAACCGTGTGACATTCTTGACGTTGCTAATCTCTGTCACCTAGGCAACAGATTTAAGGTAAAATGTTTAACAAAGTGGAAATCAAGGCTGATTAACTTACTGGTTATTGTTTGATTAGTGATGACACCTCAGTATAATCCGCTTGTGACAAATAACTGTGACACATTAAAATTGATATATAAAACTAACCTGAAATGATGAATCGAACAGAGTTTGAGAGGATGATCTGACTAGCTGGATCATTGGAGAGGAGTAACTGACACTTTTCTCCTGAATATACCCCAAAATATAAAGCTTAACAAGCTAGCAGCTATCACACTTATTAAGGTGGAAAATGGTAAATCATAGAGTTTGATTAAAGTATCAGGGAATTGTTCAGCATCAAGTATTTTAAGTATGTATGATGTTAGTTGATTTGCAGTTGGAGCACTAAGACTTAAGAAATTAAGTAAGAATAGGTAAGAAGAGTTTTATCACATTCAGTCAGAACATACCTTAATCACATTGACTCAAGTGCAGAGACAAGGCCATCACTTTGCAAGTGACAAGTAAGTCTCAAATCTTTGTCTCAAATCTTTGTCCCAAGACCTAAACTTTGAGTTTCAAGTCCTAAACAGGTCATAGTGCGCTCTCTATCCAACGCCATCAACAACAGAACAAACTAAATGAAATTGTCTTTGGTATCATTGTTCTATACTGTATATGAACTCTATCCTTAACTGACCCAGCCACCACATCTTCCAATCAATGTGGACTTTGTTGCGTCCTATACTCTGCATCTATACTGTATGGCCTACTTTGACTTCCTACAATCCTTTTGCCACAAAGTGCTTTCCGGCAAAAATTCTGAAGACCACATACTCGTAAAGTCTCAGTCCTGATGTATATAGTAGTTAAGCTACAAACAAAGTGGATCTGGGGAATTAAGTGTTGACTTGCTGGGAATGAATAGCGTTAACATTTAAGAAATTAAGGGAAACAAATAACTTTTCAATCTTTGGGGGCTTGGGGAAAGTCAAAAGGCTTAAATCAAAATTAAGTCACGAGTCACTGGGGTTTAAGTCCAAGTCGAGTTACAAGTCTTTTTTAGTTTCTATCAAATTCAACTTGAGTTGACACATCTCTGGTAAAAGTTTTTTGTATATTTGTCTGTGGGGCCAGTTCAGGGCTTTGTCTGGAACTTCTCAAAGTCACTCTATAACTTCACTTGTGTGTAAGTAAAGGAGTACGACAGTAGACAAAAAAGGTCAGGTGAATGAGAGGTGATGATGATGAAGAATGAGAGATGAGTGAGGTCTGAGCAAGAGAGAGGGTGAAGGAAAAGAGAAGAAGAAGGATTGTTGATTTTCGCTGAGCTCAGACTTTAATGTGAAGGCAGACTGCTTTCATCCCTGTTACTGTGTGTCTGTCAACTCTTTATCTTTAGTTTTCTCCTGCAGAACCTGTCTCATACACACATGCATGCACACAAACTTACCTTAGGACAGGCTCTGATGTAGGCAGACTTCTCGTCAGGGTATTTCTCCAGACGACGAGGTCCTTTACTGGAAGACTTCTTGAACACCAGCCAGCAACGCCGATAGATCTGTAAAATCAAAGTAATTTAATGTTCAATACTACTTTAATTTTAGTCTGAAACAGTGAATTGATCAAAAATGAAACTTTATGTGACTGAACAATACGAGTACTGGTAGGGTACAATTGGAGAATGTGGTGAAATTGCTAAAAGCAGCTTCAGAAGGGCAACAAGTCTGATGATCAAAGAGGTTGTAAACAAGTTGACTTTATTTGGAGGTCAAACTGAAAGTGAGCACACCGGTAGTGTCGCTAATAATTCCTTGTTGCGCAGTAAACTGTGCCGTGTGAGCATAACTACAGCAAGTACTAGGTCAACAAAGAACTCTGTGTAAAACTGTAATGTGCTTGTTATTTTTGGGAAACACAACATTTGGTCATTTTGACAGAAAAAATTGTCAAATCTAAAATGTCACAGATGGGAATCAGAATCCACCATCACAAATTCATATCTGTCCCACTGGTTTTGTTGTTGGCTTTTAGTAGAGAGTTGTACTCTCCTTTGATGCTCTGTATGTCCTACTTCAGATGCTTCTTTTTGACAACATTTTAAGCACCAGTGTGTAGGATTCAGTGGCATCTAGTGGTGAAGTTATATAACGCAAAATGCAATCTAGAGCCAGTGTTTGGTTTGTCTGTTCTGGGCTACTGTAGAAACATGGTGGTTCAACGTGGCGGACTCTGTGGAAGAGGACCAACTCCTTCTGGAGATAAAAACGTCTCATTCTAAGGTAATTAAAACATTCTTATTTTCAGGTGATTTAACATTAATTAAAACATACCTATGAATATTATATTCCATTTCACTTTTTAAAAGAACACAACAAAATGAGACGTTTCTCTATTTGGTTGTGTTTTCTGTATTTAGGTGGGTTTTATGTGTTTGGGTGGGTTTTCTGTATTAGAAAATGTCACTACTAACAACTTATTTAACCCTTGCAAAATGATCTGCCAAATAGCTTGTGTACACAGAACAGCATATGCACATGGATTTATATGAAAACTCGTCCAGCCATCCCCCTTCTGTCGCTCTCTTTTAGCCTCTCAGTTGTTTACAAGAGCTTAATTCAGTATCAAGGGCGGATGTTGGAAAGAGAATGAAAAGCTCAGGACTGAGCTCTATTGAAGAAGTATGGAATACCAATACTTTCCCACCTGTACATCCTCTCAACAAAAGCTGAGCACAATAGGCCATATATTCTGCCTTTAGAAATTAGGATTGATGCAGGAGAGGTGAACTGAGCATACTCTTTCAGCAACACCCCTGCTCAGATTAACACCTCGACATTGATCCATAAAAATGATTTTTCTATCTTCTGTAATCACAATGATGGTGTTTAGCTGATGCTCTTATCCAAAGTGATTTGCAATAAATGAGCAGGTAGCTATTCAGAGGCCTGACCCAGGACACTTTGACTGGATATGATTATTGATTACTGAACTGGTTGTTGTGAGAGCTCAAATGTATACCAAGCTGGACACCACTCCAGCTCTCTTATTGGAAATGCCAAGCTTTAAGAGAGAAAATCAAGCCAGATAAATAGACAAAAAGTGTCCAAAGTTTGGGATAATTTCAAGCAGAAACAAAACGTAAACTGTACAGTGTGTGTCGTAAAATGTAACTAGCTGACGTCTGTGAAAAGCTAGCTAGTTAGCAGCTACAAGTCACTGTTTGAACAGTGTCTGCAGCTATGAAAGAGATTTTGGGAGTAGTTATTACACTGTAAAAACGAAAACCTGACAAAAAAATATAAAGTATTTGCTCCATCCAAGGTTTCTGAGTTCTTTGTGAAAAGTTTGGCTCACTCACACATATCTGTTGGCAAGACACGCCGGTTTGCATTGGACTCCATCTGGGGCCTGGCCAACTACACTGCACATGCTCATTACAATGCCTTGGTTCCTACGGGGTTTCCAAAATATTTTTGTCTATAGTTTTCATCCACCATCTTGCTTTTCCCTCGCTTTGCTTGATGGCTCTAAAAAAAGGGTAAAACTGTAAATACATACTCTGCTTTAAACTAGTGGTTGTGACTTTTCTTAACTTTTTCATTTTTACAGTGTAGTGTCTTGCTTTTCATTGCAAGACACAGCCTGAGTAGTATTCAAGCACTAGGATTAGCCAGGTGCCCATGCTTGCATGATGGAGAGAAGGTTCCAACAGAAAAACATGTGGTTAAAAAAGTGTCTATGTTATCCCATACCATGATATTTTCCTAAACGTAACCAAGTAGTTTCATTGCCTTAACATAACCAAGTGGTTATTTCTAACATGTTGGTGTACAACAGAACCTTTCCACCCACTGCTGTAAAAAGTCCTAGAGGAAACACTGAAACCAATTAGTGTTCATTTTTAGAGACCTGTCTCTTTTTTTTCTTTTGTACATTTCCTTTAATAAAGCAAAAGTATTTCTCACCCAGTTACTAGATTAATCATTATATATAAATATATATATATATATATATATATATATATATATATATATTTATACCCTTCTGGAATAACAACAACTCAAAACTGTTGCATATATCGTCACATTAAGTTAGCTAATGTTGACAAAATGCTAGCTAATTATAATCTACATCAATCGTTAGCTGGCTAGGTGGTTAGCTAGTTGGCTAGTAAGGCTGAGTACTTACTGTGTACAGGGGTTACAATTCAATATACTGCTATAATACTGTAAGCAAGGCTTGGATCGAATGAGCGGTTGGCACCTTGCATTGCAGCCTCTGCCACGAGTGTATGACTGGGTGTGTGATTGTATTGTGAAGCACTTTGAGTGGTCAGTAGACCAGAAAAGTGCTGTATAAATACAAACAAAAAATAATAGGAATCAATGAAAGCAAATTAAATGCGTCATACATACCACACAGTGAAATAAGAAATGGTTTGCTGAGAATGCATGTCCTTTTTCGCATTATTTCACTAATGCTACAGTAACACACATTCATCAGTGGGCGCCTTCACTGCTGACTACTGATCCACTAGACTACCGTCTGGTTAGGTGCCTTTCTCTAGTGCATCGTGATATTTGTTTTTTTAAAGCAGACAAAAGCATCTCCCTCCTCATCAGCACCGTGCCTGCCAATCACACGGGTTCAATTCCCAGACACAGAGGCGAGCTGCACAAACAATTGCAACCTATTCCTATCAGATTAGACAAAACTGTTCCCAGCAGGACAATCAGCTTTGAGCACGGCAGATCGATCTGCTGCCGCGGTGCCTCTGGGAATGCTGCATCGCTCTCTGCTCAATGCCCTCACAGGCATCAATTAGGTTTGATCTGATCTTATCTTACCTGCCTCAGTAACCTTTAGCCTGCCACCTCTGCTGCACTGTCCCAATGCCTCCAGACTAATGGCAGCATACGACTCCTTTCAGCAACAGTGGCTCTGTAATAGTCTAGCTGCTATTTTTGGCAATGACTTTGGCCTTCTCCTTTCATGGAAAGCAAGGTCAGTGCTAACAGCTACAGAGATAATGATTTTGAGTGATCATCTGGGTGCTTCGCTTATTAATGTGGAGGTGGAAAACACATTAAGAGTCATTTCAATGTCCCCTAGATCTGTTCCATCATGTGTGCTGCACATCACTGACTAACTTTGCTGACACTGATGCAATGAAGACAAAAGGACTATCAGTCTGCACAGGAGAGTGAGAGAAGCTCAGCATCATGGGACGTGGGTGATGATACTATGTTATCTATCACTGCGCAGGAAATGTTTTTTTGCATTAAAAATGTTTTATTTGTTGTTCTTAAGATATTACTTTCCACGGGTAAGTTCACTCAAATTACAGAAGAAAAAGAAAAAACAAACATTCTCACTACCTCTACTGGTATCTAGCCATGTAGAGAATTTTACCCAGTTTTATTTGAGTTTTCTGCTTAAATGGAATTTTATTTGAAGTGCTCTCAACATAGGGATATGTTCGGTACGTAGTTAGGGACATGTCAAAGTGGAAAAGAAAGTAAAAGAGGGGGATATGGGAGATAAACTGACCAGTAGACCCACCAACCTGCTGTACTACACATGCCTGAGTAGAACACAGAGACAGCTTACTGTGAAGCCTGTCTAGCAAGGTCATCAGTTAATCTATATTAAATCTAAATTTCAGGAATAAGGTGTTGACTAATGTGTGATCATTGCTCAGACATGCCATTTTGTCAAACAACTTTATTACTGTAAGCCAAAATGCCCAACAATTAGGACATACGGCCCTTTTTTTAAGACTCAACATTCTTCTAGGAGGTAGAGCAGGTCGTCCAGTAATTAGAAGGTTGTCAGTTCAGTTCCCCTGGCTCCTCCCGCCAAGTATCCTTGAGCAAGATACTGAACTCCAAATTGCTCCTGATGCTGTGCATCAGTGTATGAATGTGTGTGAATGAGTTAGTTCAGTTTAAACCAGGGGTAGATCTAGAGAAATATTCATGGGGTGTCCAGAGGGTGGCATGGAGACTTCAAGGGTTTTTGGGGGGGGGTTTTGAGTTCAAAAACATCATATTATTGTGGCACATCATTAAAGCACTGAATAGAAATACCTAAAGTTGGCATTAGAAGTCAATACATTGTTTAAAATTAAAAATAGGGCAACTGTGGCTCAGAGGCAGTGCGGGTCGTCCACTAATGGTTGTCGATTCGATCCCCGGCTCTCCCACTGCGTGTCAAAGTATCCTTGAGCAAGATACTGAACCCCAAATTGCTCCTGGTGCTGTGCATCGGTGTGTGAATGTGCATGAATGCGTTAGTTTCTGTTCGATGGACTTTGCCATCACTGAGTGAATGTGTGTGAAAGGGTGAATGTGGCATAAGGTGTAAAAGCGCATTGAGTGGGCGGAAGACTAGAAAGGTAAAGGTACTAAGTACAGGACCATTTATCTTTTCCAAATACATGTCTTTTTTCATTGAATTTAAAGCCTATCATTTAGTCTAAAATGTGGCCATAATAGTTTCATTTTTTTAAACAAATGATTTTAAATTAATAGGTTAAGAAGGAAGAAGGAAGAGGAT